ACCTGCAGGTGGGGCAAGTGGCATGTTGGTGGGAGCTGGAAATGCCCAGGGGATGGAGGAGGAGGCAGGGAGGCCAGGACTCTGCCCGCAGCCCGCCTGGCGCGGGTCCCACCGGGCCGCCTGTGCGTTTCTGGCGCCGCTCTCTCCATATGGCAGTCGCTGGAGGTTGGTGGCTCCTCCTGGGAGACCTGAGACTGCTGCCTCCGCCTTGGGAGGGGGAGAGAGTAATTATAGACAGCCCTGCACCAGGCCGGCCCAAACCAGTTCCCTCTATTCCTGGGCATGGCTCAGAGCCGCTGGTTGGGGAGAGCCAAGCAGAAGCAGCTCGGGGGAGGTCAGTGGGGGAGGGACAGTCAGCTGTCGCATGTGCTGCCACCCCGGCTCTTCAGAAGAGTTTGTGGGTTTTGTCATGGAGGCCACACTTAGAGGAGTGACATGCGCAGACCTGATTGAGGAGAGAACTCCTAAGTAACCCATGCAGATGTACTGTGTGGGGTGGCAGGTGGGGGAGCAGTGGAGCTGGGACCTTCTTCCTTCTGCTATCTCCCTGCCAGAAGCCTCCTGTTTTGTTAGAATGTTGCTTCAACCCTTCTCCTGGCCTCCATCTATCATGGGCGCCCCCTGCCTGCATCTCCAGCCTCATTGCCTGCTGTTCCCTGCACCATCCATAGCCATCTGGCCACTTCTTTCTCTTGATTGAACTGGCCGAGCTTGTTTCTGTCTCAGGGCCTTTGCACATGCTTTGACTGCTGTGTGGAATGCGCTTCCTCTCTTCATGGATGACTCCTTAGTTGTCATTGGGGACTGGGCTCAAATCTTGTATCCCTGACTCGCTCATTCAAAGAAGCTCTTCCTTCCCAGCCCCTCTATTGCTTAATCACTCTGAAATTGTCTTGCTGGCATCCTGTTTACTGAGGACCAGGCTGTTCCCTTTGTTCACTATTATGTCAGTGCCTGGCAGGTCATCCTATATAATAAAACCCTGATATGCAAATCGACTGAATGGTGGACCAACTGGCCGCTATGATGCACACTGACCGTCAGGGGGCAGACACTCAATGCAGGAGCTTCCATGATGTGCACAGAAAAACAGCATTCAGCCTCCCCCAAATGGGACACAGGCCCTGCCACCTCCCCAGAGCAACAGTCAACCAAATTGCAGCCAACGCTGCCGAGACCCCATGGCGCAAAATGCAGACCACAGCCCAGCCCAGCCTGGAAATGGTCGCAGTGGGCACAGAGTAATGATGTCATGTAGCAACGCCCAGCTTCCTCTCCCTAGTGACGATTAGCCTCCTTGCAGTTTCTTCAGCCCAGGAATAGACTTGCTTTATAGCCAGGTGGAAACATTTCACACTTGAACCAAATTCTGGGAAGCGTTTTCTGTGCCTCATCTCATTTGATCCTCACAGAAGTCCTGGAGCAGGTAGATAGGAGACTCGGTGGAATCCTATTTTCTTTTCATTAGCCAGAAAGCGGAGATTTAGAAATTTAGAAACTTGACCCGACTGAAAAGAAGAAAGAAATGGTGGATCTTAAAAATTACTTCAGGTTTTCTCGCTGTGCAGAATATAGTCAAAGACTGCTGCAGTCAAATATTTTACCCTTCGTTCTCCCTGCGAGATCTACAATAATAATCTGCTTTGTGTTGATATTTACTGCTGTGTTGCTGACAATTACCTGAAAGAGAAGTTGGGCTGGGAAAAAACTTAGCTAAATCAGAAAGCAGGTCTATATCTATAAAGGCTAAGGTGACTCACTCATGTGCTATACATAGAAAGCTCTCACTGGCGCCAATCACATGCATGTGTTTTGATCTGTCATTGTCGATCGTGAATTTGGTTGATACTTCTATTATACAGAAAGGGCAAATAGTGATATTAAATTTTTCTTCTAATTAATTTCCTTTCAGTGTGCCTGAATTCATGCACCAGGCCCCTAGTAAATACTCATATTTGTTCCCCGAGGACTAAATGGCTATGTGAACAGCTTCTCCTTTAGGGTCTGCCAGCAGCCCTAGATGGGCGGCTCAGCTTCCATTTCTAAAAGAAGAGGGCAAAATTCAAGAGATCTCCCTGTAATTGCGTGGAATGACAAGGCGGAGACAGGCCTAGCGGCCTGAGCAGGTGGTAATCCCTCCGGCTTTTCCACCCAGGCTAGAATCACTGACCCAGCGCAGGGCTGGCCTGGCTTAGCCTGGGATCACAGGATTTCAGCCCGGCAGCTGACAGGCTTTGTGTTTCGTGTCCACTCTGTCCCGCTGAGCTGAAACAAACCAGCTGGGCTGGCTCTGCTCATTGTTAGTCACCCAGCTTGGGCCTCTCCGTGGGACGGGCCGCTTCTGCTCATCCAGGAGCTGAGCTTTCCCAGAGAACGTCTGGGCCTGGGTAGGACTAACGTCTGTGCCCTCAAAGAAGCAATGGCTCCATGGGGTGGGCACACCTGTGATGGCGATCTGTGAATGTGTCTGTTTCCTTTAAAGAGTACGTTCCAGAGAAGGTCCCCGGGATTGAGGGGGAAGAGTGCCTTCTGGCCCCAAGGGGTCCTTCTGAATCCCTTCTGCCAGAAGTTGGTGGAAGTGCCTCAGCTCTCTGAGTGGTTTCTGAAGAAGGTACTTCAAATGAGGTCCCAAGTTCAATGTGTTGGGCCACCTAGACGAGGTATTGGGGGGGGGGGGGGGTTTGCATTGCTCTGGGACAGCAAAGTGACCCTCTGCCGGTGCTTCCCTTTGGGGCGGCTGGGACACAGTGTCAGCACAGCCCCATAAGGCAAAGGGTAGGCTTTTCATCTAAAGCAGAACCTTGTTGGTGTGATTGGATTCAGGAACCCAGTTACACACACACACACACACCCTGGGATGTCACCTGAAGACACCTGACCTGAGAGATCAGTGCTTGGCTGCTTTCCAAACTGTTTGTCTAAGTCAGTTTTTCCCCTCCCAAACTCACCTGATCATCTGAATTATCAGTGACCATTGCTTTGAAAAAATCCTGATTCTGCCGCTGGGATGGTGAAATCTCCAGGGAAGGGTGGCTGTGGGCTCTGATCTGATTATTGTAAGGATTCAAAAGATGGGCACAGTGGACTGTGACACAGTGCGGTGGAGGTGTGCCAAGCACAGCTCCAAAATGACACTGGAGGCCTTCGCCAGCTGGCTGGGATGGCGAGTTTTCAGGGCCAGTTGATACCAGGGTGAGGGTTGGGACAGTGAAGATGATTTGTATGACTTTTAATTGGAAAAATCCCCTTTTTCCTTCAAAACTAAACATTGCTTGATGTCAGTAAAGAGAGAATCTCATGGGGTGTGTGGGTTTTATGTACTGATTTTTGTGGGCGATGGGGGTTTGAACAGTTACAGAGACCACAGGCCTCGTGGGCTAAGCCTGGTGGGTTATGGGAGATGGAACGACTTACCACTGGTGGGGGAGGTACTAATGAGGGACCCGATCCAGGAAGAGGTTCATCTCCACCCCTGGGAGGTGGGGGTGCCGGGTGGCTGTCCCTGCAGGGTGCTCTTTGTTTTTCTAAAATGCACTCCTCTGCATCTCACCGGTCCCTACCATGACACAGTACATTTTCTGAGGGTGGTTTTGCCATTTTAAGTAATACTGTGCCGTACATCTGTAGTTTCTCTGATTAGTTTCTCAGGATAAATTGCTAAAAATGTAATTCATTTTGGATCAGAGGACCCAATATAAATCCTGACATTTAAAAAATATATATTTCTTTCCTTGAATAGATAAAATATGCCGGCAATTAAAAAAATTCAGACAGGGGCACACTGCCCCTTCCGGGAGCCCGCCCGCATCTCCCCCCCCCCATAGGCATGCGTCTCCTAAGCTCCAAGGGACCCCACGAGACTTGCAACTAGGGAGCAGTGGGCAGCAGTAACTGCTCCTGGGCTAATCCCTGAGCCTGTCCTCCAGACCCCCTTTTCTCCGAGTTCCCAATGAGCTGGCAACAGCCCGGCCCAGGCTCTCCTCTTGCTGCTTCTATCTGAGGCCCTTCCTTGCTTCATTGTCCCAGCTTTAATAAACATACTCAAAATAAAATATAAAGTAAAATTCTGACAGTACAAACAAAAGGTGTCCATCTGTCTCCCACTCCTGGTCCCCAGTTCTTCAGGCCCCACCTTAGAGGAAAATGCTGCAGCTTGTATTTGGTGTATTCCCCCAAAAATATTCTGTTCACATAAATATATATGCTTCTCTTCAAACCCTCTCTTTTTGTTCTGTTTTGACACAAATAGGAACTTTTTTAAAAATACATATTTCTTTATTGATTTCAGAGAAGAAGGGAGGAGAGAGAGAGAGAGAAACAACAGTGATGAGAATCGTTGATTGGCTGTCTCCTGCACACCTGCCACTGGGGGATGGAGCCCAAAACCCAAGCATGTGCCCTTGGCCGGAATCGAACCTGAGCCCCATCAGTCTACAGGCCGGTGCTCTATCCACTGAACAAGCCGGCTAGGGCAAATGGGAACTTTTATGTACACGTTTAAAAATAGTATTTCTCTGTGTGTTTATATTATAATATTTATGCTCGGTCCTGAACTGGCAGTGACCCTGGAGGGTTGAGAAGTCCTCCCTGAACCGCAGCAGTATGCCAGGCTGGGATTAAGTCACTGGGGAAGGGACGAGGCATCCAAGGCCGGGCTCTTCCCCCAGGGTGCTTTGCAATCTCTGGGAAAGGGACTTTGAGGAGCCTGGGAGCAGCCCGGGCAGGAAGTGGAAGTGGTAGTGCCTGTCAGAGGCTGCCATCATCCATGGGGGAGGGGAGGACGTTTGGAGGGCCTAGGCAGCCTTTGTGTGGGGGTGGAAGCCACATTCTCTCTCCTGAGCCCAGATAGAGGCCTGGGCTGCAGCTGGAGGCGGGAGGCCAGCTTCCCAGGGAAATCATGGGAGTGAATGTAGGGCACATCTCCACCGTGTCTGCTCACTTCCCCCTTGATGCCAGGCTAGATATTCTCCTTATCCTTCTCCCTGTTGCTTTCTCCCCAGAGGCTCGTCCAAAACAGAGGAAGCCTGCGAAATCTACGCCCGAGCAGCAAACATGTTCAAAATGGCCAAAAACTGGAGTGGTACGTGATCTCTGCTGGAGCCCCTCGTGCTTCCTCCTCCTTTCCCTCAGCTCCCGCCGCAGCCCCCCTCTCTCAGGCTTCTCTGGCGCCGAAGCCGTGGCTGCTGAGGGCCGGGAGAGCCCCCTGGGCTATTTTACAGCTGGGCTCTCGGCCTTGGAGAGAGGACGGAGGGGGGAGGACAGATAGACGATTGAGTCCAGGTAGACCCACATGGATTGATGAGCCCTTCCAGCTTTCTCCTTAAATTTAGGAGATCAGGTTTCCCCGGAAACTGTTTCATACTGCTTCCGGCAGAGTCTGAATTCTGAGCTGGGGGGGCGGTTAAGTGGTCCAATAACATTGATCACAGTCACCATTGATCGGGCACCGTACTGAGCACTAGGCATGCATTATTTAATTGAGTCATTGCAGCAACCCTACGAGGGTCAGTACCATTCATTAATTTTCCCATTTTATGGATTCGGAAACTGAGGCTTATGCCAGCCCCAGAGCAGGGCCCAGTGTTTAACATGTGACTCCTCCTGACCTTTGGAGCTGAGTGACTTCGGTTTGTGTCACAGCTCAGACTGGCCTGTGACCCTGGAAGCTACTTGGCCTCCCCTAGTAATTCTACACTCAAGTGTGTTTGCTTCTCAGCACCCCAGCAGGGAAGTGGTTGAGAGCTAACGGGGCGATAGTGTGGGTCCATGGAGATCAGGCTCACCAGCGAGGGTAACTGGGGGGCCCAGTGTCATGTAACGCTGCAGGCACCTCCCAAGACACTCCTGTGTTGGAGGGCAGAGTGTCAGCCGCTTCATGGCTCTGTGACTCGGCCCTGAGTGCAGTCGGGTTCCCAGGAGCTTGGTCGGCAGGGAGCTGCCCAAGGCCCGAGCAGAGATTGGAAAGCTGGTGCGTGAAGCCCACGGGGGGCTGATTTCATAAAACGACTTCGAACATCTGCATGTTTGGATCAGGGGAACCCAGCAAAGACACAGTTCCTCTCTGGGAGGCAGAGGCTAAAATCGACTGTGGCCATTTTCTGAGAGTTACAGCTTCCACAGGACACGATGTGGAAGAATACTTATTTCCCAATCACACAGATGCTGCTTCCCCTTCCTCCCCTCCCAAATTTGTAAACCAACCCTCACCAAAATTCGTAGGCCATTTTTTTTATTTTTACCTTCTCTGGAAATTTTACACTCAAGTTTCTAGTCCTTTAACATGATTAAGAACCCATACCTCGTAAAAACCTGGTCGGCTTTGTCTGTCCTGTTGCTCTGAAGCTCCAGGACAGGGGCCAGGCCCTCCCGTCCTCTTCCAGCTCAGCAGTTCTGGGACCCGGCCTCAGCCGGAGGAGGATGGAGGGAAGCGCCTCAGAACAGCTGAGGTGGCTGTGGGGGTCTCAGCCAGCACAGTCCCCACCCCTGGAGGAGAGACCCCAGTGCCTCCTGCAAGTCACTTTGGATGAGGACGTAAGCAGAACGGCTTGCCAGCCCTGGAGGTGACAGTGGGCGGGAGTAAGACAGGCTGGGCTTCAGGTGGTCTCCTCGTGCCCCAGGGACTCAAGACCTTGGGGTCTGCGTCCTGTTTCCTGTTCCAGACGGGAAGCTCCTAGAGGGAGCAGACCCTGTGTGCCCCCATGTACCGCATGACTAGCGTGGTGCCTTGCCCACACAGCCTGCAGTGACTCTCCACAGGGACTGCACGTGGACAGAGGCAGAGGAGTACGGGGACTTAGGAAGAGCTGGAGGCATGGGGGGAAGAAATCGGACTTCGAGTTAGGGAGTCAATCAGGAAGTGTTTCAGAGTTGAATCTCAATGGCCATCTCTTTCCCAACACCCATACCTGCCCCCCTCCCATGATTCAGCCTGCTCTCTGCCTCTGAGTAGGGTTCCCAGCCCTGAGCCCTGTGCTTGCAGGCTCCCCCGGGGGCACTGCTGGCTCAGGGGGCCCAAGGCCTAAGCCCAGACCTCGGCTCACCCAGGCCACCCTGTCCCTTTCCCCGGGGCTCCCTGTGTCCCCGAGAGCTCCCAGGCAGTGTGTGCGGCTCAGGAAGCACAGAGCCCCGCTTAGGCCAGCATCTCTTTTCTGTTCCAGCGGCCGGAAACGCCTTCTGCCAGGCGGCGCAGCTGCACCAGCAGCTCCAGAACAAGCACGACGCAGCCACCTGCTTCGTGGACGCCGGCAACGCGTTCAAGAAAGCTGACCCCCAAGGTGAGGGCCCGTGGCCCCCGGGGCCGGCTGCCCGGGCACCAGCTGAGCGCTCCTCGGAGACGTCCTCAGGTTTCCCCGGGCTCCGTCTTCTCCAGTGGCCGACACGCGATAGGCTGGCAGGGAGCCCTCGCGCTTTAATTTCAGAACTGGCTCCCTTCCCGTGGCATTTCCATCCCGCTCCGAGCCTCCTCCTCCCCTGCTACTGTGTGTGCAGCTCATCGCTCCCCTCCCGCTGCCCGGGAGCATTTGGGAGTGGGAGTTACATTGCAGACCCAGCGCATGCCAAGGGGAGAGGAAATCTGTTCTGTTGTCAGAATTGACAGCAGAAGCGGGCGGAGGGCTTCTGAGACCAGCCAGGCAGCAGTGACTGCCGGAGAAGGCGAGGAGTGGTCCTAACTGGCTTCCCTGGGGGCCCGAGGGGGGAGAGGGAGATGGGGGAGACGAGCCTGAGATGTAGTTGCCAGAGAACAAGTTTCCCCAGATGACAGCGTGTTGGGGACAGAAGCCCCAACTGGGTCTCTGTCATTGTGAAGAGCACATTTTGTCCCACTGGGCTCATCCGGAAGCAGAAGCCCAGTGGGTACCAGACTTTCATGGAAATGGGGTTCTAATCTGCTTTTTATGTCTTGGTGCCAGGCATAGGTTGCTAACTTATAATTTTAGCAAGGAGAGATTTCTTTATAAAGACCATCTATTGTCACTCTCCTCTCTTGTGAGAATGGGAAAGGCGTGCTTTAAAAAAAGGGGGGGGGGCATAATCTTGGAATAGAGGCCTGTCCTTCCCAAGAGGGGACAGTTGTCAGTACACAGAGGTCTCTGGGAGAGCCAGGGAGCACTGGTTCACGTGCAGGCGCTGGGATTGCTGGCAGGCCATGCTGCTGTCAGGGACATTCATTCATTCCTAGGATCTGGACTCTGTGTAAACCAAGTAGCTTTTCTCTGTCCCTAAACTTGACCGTTTCTCCTCTGCCACCGGGTTTCTCACAGATGATGGTCTAAGTTCTAAGTGGTAGCAGGCTCAGCCAGAACCCGAGGGGAGCTCTGGCTGGGTGGCTCAGTTGGTAGGAGTGTCATCCCATACCCCAAAGGGTTTTGTGTTTGATTTCCGGTCAAGCACATATCCAGGTTGCTGGTTCTATCCCTAGTCATGGCACATATGGGAGGTAACAGATCAATGTTCTCTCGGGTTCTCTCTCCTTCTCTCCCCTGCTATCCCTGTATCCTGCTATCCCTCTCTGTCTTCCTTCCTCTCCCTAAAATCAATAAAAACGTATCTTTGGGTGAGGATTTTTAAAAAGAGCCCCAAGGGTGGCCTGTGACTGGGCGGCCTGTCACTCCTTGCACAAAGCGGAGTGCTGGGCCACCACAGACCACGTGGTGAGTGATGATGACCCAGGCCATCCTGGGTTGGTTTTCAGCTGGAATCACCCAGAGAAGTCTGTATGCCCCCATGGAGTCCCCCCTTTCCCCTCCTTCCTTCTGCTCCCTGGGGAACTGGTGGACCTGGAGGTGCTGCCCTGGCATCTGTGACGGTCAGCTGCTCCTCCTGAGTGACAGGAAGGGCTGATTTCCGGGCGGGAGCAGAGCGCTGGCCGCGTGACATGTGCAAGGCCCCAGCTGCTCTTTAACCAGCCCAGCGCCTCCCGGGCACGGCCCCGCCTGGCACTGTGGTACGAGTCTGTCCCTCCCTGGCTTTTGATCTGAGTTGTCTCATCTCAGCATGCTCTTCAGGCTGCGTGTGGGATGTGCCTCAGGAGGCACAGAGGGTGGCAGCGTCTTCAGGTTGGTGGGAAGCAGCAGTAGGTATGGTGACAGTGGGGCACAGAGGCCAACTTAGTTTCTCCAGGGATCTGCAAGCACCGTTTGCTGAGATGGGGGGAAGGAGTGTGGGGAGGGGGGAAGCTTGTGGGGAAACAAGAGGGGCAGCAGAGCAGAGAACAGTGTAATGTGGGCAGAGCCGGGGCTAGGTACCTTGTCTGGAGCCCAAATAAGAGTGCCTGGAGCTGAGGCTGGGCAGGGATTTGCAGCGGCCTTCCAGCTCCACTGCCTCATAGCTGCCAACCCCAGTCACAACTCTGAGGTGGGGACCATTCCAGCCAGGGTCAGGGGAGAGGGCGCATTGGCACCAGGAGTAACAGCTGCCTGATGTCGGCCAGGCCAGCTTCACAGAGGCCGCGGCAGCTGTGTGGCTCAGTTAGTGTAGTCTGAGCGACCTGAGACTTCACGCTTAATCTGTTGGATCTGCATTTCCTGGTCAGATAGAGCTGACAGCACGCCTGAGATAAGGCGAGGACACGCCTGGGTGGCACCTAGCATGAGATAAAAGTCCCGGGAGGGCAGCCCCTGCTCACGTCCAACCGGCTCCACCCCTTGGCCGCCTGCCTTGAGGAATAGCTGGAGGCCCAGGTTGGAACCTGGCCCACTTTCCCCAAGCAGGTGATCAGCCCCCTGGGGCCCTGCTGATCACCTCCCTGTCAGTCCTGTGTGAGCACTTGCTGCAGGAGCCCTGGAGGCCCGCCCCTCCCCCACCCCTCCAGAGGCAGCTGGTGCCAACCAGAGCTGCCAGGCAGGGAAAAGGATTTGGTTCCTGTCATCACGCCCTCCCTTGGGTGGTAGGAGGTATGTGGGGGGGGGAGGGGGAGTCTGCCCTCAGTAGAGGTCAGGGGTGTCTTGCTGCCGCCTGGTGGGATTGGGGGTGGGGAGGTGACGCCCATAGCTGTCAGTGGTTCCCCAGAGTTTCCCAACCACTGTCCCGCCGCTCTGGGTGGACTCAGGCCAGGAAGGCCTCTGACCCACCTGCCTGCCAATTGGGCCCAAGGGTTCATGCATGTGCGCCCAGGGCAGCGAGGTGACCAGGCCCCCATTCCCCCTCCCCCTCGTACCTGATGCCCCACATTGGATGCCTACTGTGTACGAGGCTCAGGCATCTTCCTTTAATCCATTCCGCTTCCTGTGCGGTTCTGGGATTTGCCCGGTTTATCTCGGAGACTGGCCGTGTTGGGGTGGACTGCAGGAATGGGGTGGGGTTGGCTGGGGCCCAGGCAGCGGATTGAGGGCCCTGGGTTGCAGACTCCCTGTGTCCCTAAGCCAGGGCCTTCCCCTCCCTGGCCTTAGTCCCCTCCCCTCATTCTGGGCTGGATCATTCCCAGAGTCCCTTGCCAGGTCCAGTTTTCTGTGGGTAGATAAGGGCGAGGAGGGGCGGGGGAGATTCTGTGCTCAGCCAGGGGTGAGCTGGTCGCTAATCCTGGGGATCCCTGTGACCTGATAAGAAGCTGGTTGGAGCCACTTGTCAGGGGCTTGCCTGCCAGGGTGTCAGCTGGGCCTGCTGCTCAGGGACAGCTGTCCTGGAGCGAGGAGCAGGGATGAAGGGGATTTAACCCTGTGCGTCTGTTGCTACTGTGTGTGTTGGGGGGAGGGAGACGCCTCCTTGCTGACAGGCGTTCGGGCTTCGGGGGCTTCGGGCAGGCTAGGCCCCCAGGGCAGCTGCAGGGGAGTTTGCAGTCCCTCCCACTGCCGCCTGCTAATGGCACTCACAGCCTTGCCACCTCTGCCTGCAGGTGCCCTGTGGTCACACCCACCCAGGAGAGGGAGTGGGTGAGCGGTAGGTGCCTGCGGGTCGCACCCAGCCCTGGGGTGGAGGCTGGAATGGGGATGGGATGTGCAGGGCCCACTCCCTGCAGCCCAGTTGCTCCCTCCTCATCCTCATCCTCATCACGGTGGTGCAGCCTGTGGCGCAACCGGTTGCAAGCTTATCCGTTACTTCCAGAAAAGCTCTGTTACAAAATGTGTGTGTGAAAGGCACTCACACTGCTTCCACTAATTTTGTTGTGTTCTCTCTCTGTCCTCCTCTGCCCCCTCTTTGCTCCTTTCCCTCCTCCCCACTGCCTCGGGCTTCCAGCTGTCAACCTCAACCTTAGCCACATGGTGCACATTCTCTGAACCTTTGGGGGGTTTCCAGAGGCCTTTCCGGCTTGGACAAACCCCTAGATCCCCTCGCTCCCAGAGCAGTGCTTACAGACGCACATTTGCCAGCGTCGGAGGCTTGGATACTCCTGAAAGCCGGGCCCAGAGCTAAGTGCCAAGTGTCCCCCTGGGTAGTGAGGCCATAACCCCGAGAGCAGGCACCAGGCCTCCACCTCTTTGTAGCATCTCAGCCCTGTGGGCTCGGCTCACCGGAGACCCGGAATCAGACCAGGGCCTTTGACTACAGGACGAACTTTCAGCCTTGACTCAGCTCAGACCCTCATCCTGTGGTCTGTGCAGGCTGCCTCCGCCTCCCTCTACTCCCTTTCTTCCTGAGATGCATTAAAACGGTGTTAAAAAAATCCACCCAAGAGCTCATCTCTGTCTGCCAGAAAACGCCTCCCACTCATGCTTCTCTTTCCTCCAAATAATTTGTCAAAGGAAAAAAGCCCTTCCCAAATTTAAAATCTTGCCAGAGCCCAGAGGCATGGCTCAGTGGTTGAATGTCCTCCTGTGAACCAGGAGGTCACGGTTAGATTACTGTTCAGGGCACACGCCTGGGTTGTGTGCTAGATCCCCAATAGGGGGCGTGCAGGAGACCACTGATCAATGATTCTCTGTTATTGATGTTTCTATCTCTCCCTCCTCCCTTCTTCTCTGAAATCAATAAAAACATTAAAAAATAAAATAAAAACTTGGAAGAGACAGTACAACAAAGGAAGCCCAATTCCTCCTCTCAAGCACCACCCTAGCGTGTGTGTGTCGTTGGCAAACCTGTGGTGTGAGGCGCTGGTGGGTGTCGGTGCCCAGTTAAGGAGGGTACAGAGGGCTGAGCACGGAGGTGGGAGCAAGAGAGGATCCAGTGGAGGGGCCGCCTCCTGCCATGGATGGAGGCCAGACAGGTGCAGGGGACGTGGTGGGTTCCGGGTCCTGCAATGAAAGGGCGTCCTCAGGTGTCAGGCGTGGCCGCCCCTCGCCAGCAGCTCTGCTCTTGAGGGTAAAGCCTTAGAAGATCCGGCTCAGAACACCCACGGGAGACTGGCCGTCAGCCTGACCTGGCACCGGCCTGGCCTGTCCCTGGTGACTGGGAAGGTGTTGGCTTTGTGGCAGCTCCAGGGAGAGGGCAGCCACGGCAGCCAGACTCCCCCGGAGCGTGTGCCAGCACGTCAGGCTGCAGAATACATTAGTCTGACCACGTTTCCTGGGCTCCGGGATTCCTTCCCCCGCCCCCCCTCCCGGCGGCTCCCCTGGAGAGCGCAGAGCAGAGCGTAGCCCTGGCAACTCCATTGATTTCCAGGCGCCTCAGCCCGCATCCCCCCTCCCAGCTCCTGCCTAAGTGACTTGGCCTTCTCACTTCTCCCCGCCCCCCTTTTTCTCTCCCCAGAGGCTATTAACTGTTTGATGAGAGCAATCGAGATCTACACAGACATGGTAAGGGTCACTACGAGTCCTGGTCCGCCTATTGCCCCTGCCTCACCTCCCCAGCTCCAGCACCAAGAGCGGGCAGAGCGGGGGAGGGGCCCTGGGGATTTGGTCACCTGCACTGGGCTGGGCTGGCTGGGTCCTCACAGCTCCCCATCAGCCTGGCTGCCGGCAGTAGCGTCAGCATGTCCTGGAGGCCATCTTGTCTTCATCGTTAAAAGTTAAGGTTACCGGGGACACGTGTCCTATTCCCCTTACCCACCCTTCCCCACCAGCATCCTCTCTGATCCCCAGCTCACAGCAGGCCAGGGAACATCCCCATCGACAGATGAGGCCGAGAGGTGGCTGGCCTGAGGCCAGGGAGCCGAGACTGTGGACCACAACCAGGCCCAGGCCCTGAGAACTCTACCTTTTGCCTCTTCACATTCCACCTGTCTCGTCAGACCCCTCCCCCCAGACCGGAAGGGGGTCCTGGCCCCGTAGGGTCCTGGGAGGCTGTAGTATTGCCGTTACAGCAGTGGCCGCAGCTGCCATCACTGGCCCAGACACTCAGTGCCTGGGTTCATCTTCCTATTTGTCAGTCCGTGTGACAGTCAGAGGGGCCCGGACAAGCGAACTGATGCCCAGGGACACAGCCCTGCGAACAGGAGTGGCGGAGACCCCAAACCAGGCCTGGCCGGGTTTAGGGCCTGACCCTTTCCTGCTGCCTGAGGCCTGGGGTTGGCTGTGAACCGGCCCCTGTGTGTGGAGCAGCTGGACAGGCACCTGGACCCCCACTGAGTGGAGGCAGGAAAGGGGCGCTCAGCCCTCTGGGAGCTGGAGGCCTCCACAGGGGAGGGGGAGGGGGAAATGCTTGTGAGAAGGGCCACCTCGATGGCCACAGGGGGGAGGGGAGGCCAAGGAGGCCTTGGGCGGTGGGGACACTCGGGCCCTCAGCCCCGGTTTCTCCAGAGCGCTGGCCCTCCCATGGCTGCCCTGGGCCTTCTCTCAAATGCTTCTTCCAGCCAGGCCCTCCGCCAGGCGCCCCTGTACCGCTCATCCCCCTGCGCACATGGACAGGAGGGAAGGGGGCTGGGTGTGGAGTGTCTTGCTCAAGGTCACCTACTGGGGGCTGCACTCAGACCCGGGCCTCTCACTCTAGAACCTTCCTTTTAAGTCCCATGCCCTCCGCCTCTCGGTACCCTCCTTCACCTCATAAGTGCAGCTGAGGGGCAGGGAGCCCCCGATTTGGGACCAGGGTGGGGCATGGCCACAGACATTCCCTCCCCGTGTCCACGCAGGGCCGATTCACCATCGCCGCCAAGCACCACATCTCCATCGCCGAGATCTACGAGACGGAGCTGGTGGACATCGACAAGGTGAGTTGGGGAGGGGCATAGCAGCTGCCAGTTGTCAGGGACCAGCACTCCTCTCTGTCCTGTCCCCTCGGGGAGCCCTCTGGTGTCTGAGCACCGGGAAGGGGCGTGGGCACTGGCAGGACTTGAATGAGGCTCTGGCTGTGTCCCAGGGGCTGCCGGTGCCCCTTCTCACCCTCCTCCCTCCCGCCCTCCCAGGCCATCGCGCACTACGAGCAGTCTGCGGACTACTACAAGAGCGAGGAGTCCAACAGGTACCAGGCCCCCCCCCTCCCGCTGCCCAGCCCCCTGCACTCGCCACCAGCCACCTCCAACCTCTCCCCTCTCGCCCCCACAGCTCAGCCAACAAGTGCCTGCTGAAGGTGGCGGGCTACGCTGCGCAGCTGGAGCAGTACCAGAAGGCCGTGGACATCTACGAGCAGGTGGGGCCGGCTCCGAGCCCTGCTCCCTGCGGAGGGCGCTGCCCCCTGCCCCAGTGCCAGTGCCCCTCCCTCCCTCTGCCACCTGCTCTTTCCCCCTCCCTCCCTTCTGTCCGCCTCCCTCTGTCATCCCCTCACCCTGACGCTGCTCACCTGGCTAAACATTCCCTCCACCGTGGCCCCACGGGTGCCGCACTAGCCCAGCCCAGCCCTCAGGGAGCTTCCTGGCTGACCCCAGAGTGAGATGACTGAAGAACCAGAGTTGGGAGGGAACGGGCAGAATTGCCGAAACCTGGGGAGCCCAGAGGAAGGGGTCTGGAACAGAGACCCTCCCATGGCTCCTCGGGCTCCTCTCACTGTGTGGGGAGGGCGGGGCGGGGCCCAGGCTGTCCTGGTGGGTTCGTGGCCAGGAGAAAGGCAGGCATCTCAGGAGAGAGGGGCAGGCACCGCCTCATGTTCCCTTAGCCTGCCACCCCTCTGCCCTGCCATGCCAGCCTCCTGTGGGCCTGATAGCGGGGCCACCTCTCACCATCTTGGGCACCGTGGGAGGCCCACAGACACCCGGCCGCGTGGCAACACCCCTCCCCATATGTCTCTGTCCGTGGTCACTCACATACCCATTGCCAGCTTCCCTCGGCTGCCCCTGCCTCTCTGCCCTTGGGGTCCCGGGTTAGCAGGTGTCCCCCTGGGGCACAGACCCAGCCTCCGGCGAGCCGCCAGTGCCTAGCAGACCGTGCCTTCTGGCTGCCTGCCGTGAGCTCAGTGCAGCCGCCGTGTACCCACAGGTGGGGACCAACGCCATGGACAGCCCCCTCCTCAAGTACAGCGCCAAGGACTACTTCTTCAAGGCGGCCCTCTGCCACTTCTGCATCGACATGCTCAACGCCAAGGTGAGCCCACCAGAGCCTGCCCACCCCCTGGGTGGCCACTGGGCCATGTCCCCTCTCAGCCCCTCAGAAAGGGTGAGCCCTCACTCAGGCCCCTGACAGGCGGCCCTGGGCGAGGAGTGCTTGTGCTCGCCGATGGCACCTGCCCCCGCTTGGTGAGAGTCTCCAGTTCTTGGCCCCCCTGCCCCCCCCCCACATCCCCCTTTCCCCCGCTGTCTCTGCAGCCAGGCTGGTGCTGAGCTCAGCTCCTTGGAAGGACCGCTAGGCACAGAGCCAGGTGACATGGAGGCTGGGGGAGGGGCACAGAGCTGACTCAGGATCCAAGCCAGCCCAGATCCCCTCCACTGTCAGGCCGGTGGCCTCAGCAGCCTTTCATCGGCTTGTCCCCTTTCCTCCTTCCCCGGCCGTGCTCAGCTTGCTGTCCAGAAGTATGAGGAGCTGTTCCCCGCCTTCTCCGACTCCCGGGAGTGCAAGCTGATGAAGGTGAGCGCAGCCCCTTTCCCGCCCCTTCCCAGCCGGGCCTGGCGTGGGTGGTGAGAGCCTGCAGGTGGGCGGAGGCGCTCCATTAGTATGCTCACCGAGATGATAGTGGCTCTCAGGGGTTTTTGTTTTTGTTTTCCCTCTTCTGCCATTTGGATCTCTTATTTTCTGGATAAAATCAGACTCACACAGTGATAAAGCTAGTAGAGGCTGAGCTGGGACATGCACACGCACACACACACACACACACACACACGCATACACATACATGTGACCTGTATCCATAAGCTTGCAAGCAGGATTGGAACAGAGCCCTTTCCTTCCTGTCAGCATGGGAGTCCCCCGATTTCCATTCGCCCAGGTGCTACATGGATCTAACTGCCTGCCATGTTCTTGCAGAAATTGCTAGACGCCCATGAAGAGCAGAACGTGGACAGCTACACCGAGGCGGTGAGTGGCAGCAGGTGGCCGCCCTGCTCACACATGCTCGGCCGAGAATCTCAACCTTTTTAACTCTGGCCTTGGCCCCCGACTAAGAATTCCTTTCTGTAGACACCCCAGAATATCGCAAGTCGCCCCGAGAGGTACAGGGAGTATTCTCCCCACTTTAGAGATTATGGCACTGAGGCTGAGAATGGAGAGGGGACGTGCCCCTGGCCCCTCGGGGACAGAGCTCACCTCTGGAGTCCCCTGAGTGAGCAGCTGAGGGCCGCCTCCATCCGCTGCTGTGGGTGACCCAGAGGGGCCGAGAGGGAAGGAAATGAGCCGCCAGCCTCCCCCTTCCCGGAGCAGGAAGGAGGTGGAGCAGGAGGGAGATGGAAGTGGCATTGGAAGGCTCATCCTTCCAGCAGCCACTTCCTCATAGAACTGGCCCAGCTGCTTCTAGATGTTCTGGAGCCCGGTTGTGTCCAGCTCAGGACCTGACCTGGTCACCCAGACTGAAGCTGAGCGCCTGCCCTCCGGAGTCTCGGCCCCTAGTGCTGACAGACCAGCTCCCTCTGGTCCCTCCTCCCCGACAGTGAAAGCTCCACAAGGAAGAGGGACGGAGGGTGTGGGTTCCCGGCCTCCCTGCCCCGTGGCGCCCGGGACAGGCCTTGTCACATCGGGCCTACTTCCCATCCGTAAGACAAGGAAGCGGGGCCTTTTTTAAGCTACAGAATTCTCTCCCTGGAAGGGAACTGCCGGGCCTGCTGCCTCCCTTGCTCCTCCTCGGCCCCGGCTGGCAGGGCCACATCTGGAGAACCTTGGGACCAGAGACCTTTGGCTTCGAGGCGGAGAGCCAGGGCCAGGCGTGGGATGAGCCGCCTGTCGCCATGGTCACGGTTGCGGTTGCTGCAGGTGAAGGAGTACGACTCCATCTCGCGGCTAGACCAGTGGCTGACCACCATGCTGCTGCGCATCAAGAAGACCATCCAGGGCGACGAGGAGGACCTGCGCTAAGCCCCGCCCGCACCTGTCTTCCAGCCCCTCCGCTCCCCTGCGGCCCCTCCAGCCACTGCGGAGCCCAGCGGTGGCCCAAGCCCTGGCTGGGACCTCTCTCCCTCCCCCAGGAGTCTCACGGGCCACAGTGCCGGCTCCACACCGCCTCAGGGCCCTGGAGGCTGGCCTCACCCCTCTTCCCTCCCCCGCCCATTTATTTAAGCCCCAAAGAGACCCTTTTCCACCCCGAAACACAAAGTCTGTGGCACAGGCCTATTGGCTGTGGGTGCTGCCAGGGGGTGGGGGTCAGCATCTGACCCTCCGTTGCCTGACGGGCTGGAGCTGGAGCATGAGGTTGGTTTCCGTCTCCCCACTTCTGTCCCCAGCCAAGCGCTGAGCACATGTCGCAGCAGCTGAGATGTGCTCTCCGCTGTGGGGGGAGCCTCCCAGCCCCCCGCCCCCTCAGCGCCAGGAGCCTCCCAGCCTCTGCAGCCCAGCCTCCCGGGAGAGACCCCAGGCCCCAGAGCAAGGGTCACCCTGCACCCGCCCATCTGCTCCTGCCATTGTGCTTTTTGGTTTTGTTGGTGGGAAGCTGCATCTGGCCCCCAAAAGAAAATAAAAAACAATACTTTTGCATGAGTCTCTCTTCCTCCTCACCTCTGCCACCCCCTCTTCCAGGGCTAGAGTGCAGTCTGCTGGCCCCCAGTGGGCTCTAGTCACGGAGGAGGCCGGCCTCGGAGAGTGAGGCCCAGGGATGGCGGGTTTAGGAGGAGCCATGGACCTGGGAGCCTGGGAACCCCCTGCCTTATCTGTGAGCCCTGGTTTCCTCAGCTGGGTAGGCGGCTGGCAGTGCCACCCTCAGAGCAGCAGTCGGGTAAGAAGGTGAGGAAGAGGCCACTGAATCCCAGCCTCGCCCACGCCCACAGTCCCCGGGGGAGCACTGCAGGCCTGGTGGCACTTGTCCTCTGTGTCACAGGGTGGGAGAGGGAGCGGTTGTGAACCGCTGGTGGCAGAGTACAGGGCCCGGTAGGTGCGAGGAGTGGGAGAGATGACAGGATCCCCTTGCCTGGGAAGAGTGGGCAAGGACTCCCCACCTCCACCCTCCACAGTGCAAGCTTGTGAGTCAAGGAAAGGTCCGCTGTGCGTATGCCTCCTCCCACCCTCACGGGGGCAGCGGGAGGAGGCCAGAGGCAGACGGGGTCCCAGCGCAGCTCCTCAGGTGCTCAGCCAGGGCCTGGATGGAGGTCAGAAGTTCATGTCCGAGTGGCTGTGTGGCACCGGCCCTGCCCCTCCGGCCCTTCTCTCACACCGTCATTGATGGATACCAGCTGCCTCGAGCTCAGTGCAGTCTCCTGAGACCTGGGATTGATTACTGATGTCTGCCATGAGCACAGGCTGAAATGGTTTAGAATCTATTTCTGCCACTCGTGACTGAAAAAGTAATTCTCAACCCTGGCTGTGCTTGAAGTCAGAAAAAGTACTTACGCGTGGGTCACACCCTGATAAACGGTGGTTTGGTTTAGGTTCATAAGAGCAGGTAGGGTTGGAAATCACTGGACAAGACAACTCTTTCCAAACTAGAACTTCACTTATTCATTCGCTCGACAGTTCCTGAGGGTGTCGTTTAGAGGTTACCACGTGAGGTAGGAGCCTGACGAGCATTCTTCAAAAGCAGCAGGACTAGACCGCACATTCTAGTCGCTCAGCGAGAATAACGAGGCACCTGCTGTGTCCTGCCCTAGTCCAGGGCCTGGGGATTCAGCACTTCCCCCTGGAGCCAGGCCTGCCCTCTAAGACTGTCCCTCCAAAGGCAGAGATCTGCGAGTGACGCGCGCCCTCCACATCCAACCTGCCTTTGAGAACCTGCCTTTTATGTCTCTTATGTAACCGTCCGGCGAAGGGCTGACACATCATCTGTAGGGGGGTTTTTTGTTTGTTTGTTTTTTAAATATATTTTATTGATTTTGTATAGAGAGGAAGGGAGAGAGATAGTTAGAAACATCGATGAGAGAGAGTCATCGATCAGCTGCCTCTTGTACACCCCCCACTGGGGATATGCCCGCAACCAAGGCACATGCCCTTGACCGGAATCGAACCCGGGACCCTTCAGTCTCCAAGCCAACGCTCTCTCCATTGAGCCAAACCGGTCCTGGCTCGTCTGTAGGTTTTTAACACGTTTACTGAGTGCTTGCTTTCACCCTTGTAGTCCGCATGCTGCAATTTTACTGCTGTCTCGGATCCTGCAGTCTGTGTATTGGTGTCCTTTCTGCATGGAGGGAGATGACAGGAAAGTTGGCCAACTCTGGAAACTATGCAGGTGTAGGGTCCCCAAGCCCGTCATGCCGTTTCTAGAGACAGAATACTCGGGAACCTCTTAACGACCCTGGGTTTAGTGTTTCAGAATTTACCAGACAACCTAAAAAATACCCGGGGGTACTCAGAGATCCAGCAGAAAGCCATTCATTTTCTGATGTCCTAGTAAGGTGACTCAGGTCAGTTCTCCAGATCCTGAGGGAGTGACTTTATACCCTTTGGCTTCTTTGCTTTCTGTTTCCTAACTACCAGGCTTTTGTGGTGGGCTGCCACAGCCCCTCCTGAGCCGGTTAGGATGGGGAAGTTGGTATCTAAGTCAGTGGTTCTCAACCTTTCTAATGCCACGGCCCTTTAATACAGTTCCTGTTGTGGTGACCCCCAACCATAAAATTATTTTCATTGCTACTTCATATCTGTAACTTTGCTACTGTTAATGAATTGTAATGTAAATATCTGTGTTTTCTGATGGTCTTAGGCTCTACAGCAGCGGTTCTCCTAAGACCATAGATTCTAAGTGCCTGGTCTGGGTGGTTCCAGTGACCTCTCCTCTAGCTAAGCTGCTCCATGCCGTGTTTATGGCCCCTTTGTAAAATGGGAGTATTCTGGGGAACAGGTTCTGCACAACAGGTCAGGCATCAATGGAGTTCATTATTGGCTAGCAAGAGTGTGTGTTAGAAGGCATGTTACTGGCACAGATTCGGATTGCTAGCCCCCACCCCCAAATGTCTAATCTCTCCTTCATTAGAAACACCTGGTTAACATCCTGTCTGCCCTTTTCTAGCTATCAGTCAAGGGACTTACTTTCCCTGAGCTTCAATTTCACCCTCTGTAAATTGGGCTAATAAATAAACCTCTGCAGGATTGTTGCAAGGGCTATCGAGGTAAATTTGGAAAGGATGTGTGGCACATAGTGCCCAATGAATGCTGGGTAACAGTAGGATGGTGTGAGGATTCAGTGGGATAATCCAGCCAATATGATGGGCACAACACCAATCAATAAAGGAGGAGGTTTTTGTCAGGACAGATAGCTAGACCTTCCTTTCTCTGGGGTAAGAAAATGCATTTCACCATTTTATTATATATATATATATATATATATATATATATATATATATATATATATATATATATATAGTGTTTCAACTCAATGTTTTAATTAGAAACAACTTGAAACCATCAAGTTGTTGGTTTAAAAATTAATTCAAAGCTAGCTGGGACCGGTTTGGCTCAATGGATAGAGTGTGGGCTTGGGGACTGAAAGGTCCTGGGTTCGATTCCAGTCAAGGGCATGTACCTTGGTTGCTGGTTGCGGGCATATCCCCAGTAGGGGGTGTGCAAGAGGCAGCTGATCGATGACTCTCTCATCGATGTTTCTATCTCTCTCCCTTCCTCTCTATACAAAATCAATAAAATAAAAAAATAAAAATAAAATTAATTCAAAGCTAGATTTAAAGTAATCAGCCCGTTTCACAATGAGAATTGATATTCCTGGATGAGAAACAGGATGTCTAGATATAGATGAGACTCTCATCTAGTATTCAAAGCTATTCCTGAAAGCAAATTGATTAGGTGAAGCCACAGGCACTTTCTTTCATAAATATATTTTATTGACTTCAGAGAGGAGGGGAGAGGGAAAGAGACACATCAATGATGAGAATCACTGATGGCCTCCCTCTGGCATGGCCCTCTGGGGATCTAGCCAGAACCCCCGGTGTGTGCCTCCTGGTTCAACCACTGAGCCACACAGGCTGGGCCATTTCACCATTTTAAAAGGGATGTGATTAATAAACTATTGGTGCCGTCTTATTTGGGTTATATCAATAATACTATTACTTACTAGGTATGTGATCTTTTACCTCTGAGTGCCTCAATTCCTTCATCCATAAAACACAGTAACTACCTCAGACTGCTTGTGAGTTTTAAATAAATTGATAGATGGGAAGCGCTTAGAACAAACAGTTCCCGACATATATTAAGCTTTATTGTGGGAGTTAGTTACCGATCACATAGCGCGCAGGCGCGTTGGGGCAAAGTCTCCGGGGAGGTCCGGCGGCCATCTTGGAAAAGGGCGGCGACGGCGATGTGATGTCATCAGTATGCGCGACGAGCGGGCATGCGGAGGTCCCCGTCGCTTCAGGAGCGTGGGATGGGGCAGGGCGGGCCGCGCGGGGCTGCGGGCGTGAGAGGTTGAGGCCCGCGATGGGGGAGGCGGCCGTGGCCGCGGAGCCTTGCCCGCTGCGCGAGGACAGCTTCACGCGATTCTCGTCGCAGAGCAACGTGTACGGGCTGGCGGGCGGCGCGGGCGCGGGCGGGCGCGGGGAGCTGCTGGCGGCCACCCTTAAAGGCAAGGTGCTGGGCTTCCGCTACCAAGACCTCCGACAGAAAATCCGGCCGGTGGCCAAGGAGCTGCAGTTCAATTACATACCCGGTGCGTGGCGCTCTGGGGCCGGAGGGCCGGGAAGATGGTGAGAAGGCTTCTGAGGCTCCGTCTGAGCCTGGTCACTGTGACGGGAAAATGGGACCAGGGTGATTGAAGGGGGTCGGAGCTGACCATCAGGAGGCGTTGGGGTCAGAAGGCAGGGATAATGGGAGCCTAGCAGTGGTTAGGATTCAGGATCTCTGCTACCATGATGATGGCGATCTGGACTCAGAGATCAATATGCTTCAGAGATCATGCATGGTAACTGCGGTGGCGAAAGGTTATTGAGTCCTAGAGGTCAGGGGTCACTATGATTGGAACCTGAAACTTGAACTTTGAACTATCCCCTCCCAGTGGATGCCGAGATTGTCTCCATCGACACTTTCAACAAGTCGCCCCCAAAGCGGGGCCTGGTTGTTGGGATCACGTTCATCAAGGTACACAGAGCCCCCTTCCACCTACCTGTTCCTTCCTCCTCACACACTGAGTGTGGGTCCCACTGAACCTGACGAGGATCCCTCCTGCCGCCACCCCTGCTCTCTCCTGAGGCCAGTCTCCTTCCGCAGGATTCAGGCGACAAAGGCAGCCCGTTCCTCAATATCTACTGTGACTATGAGCCTGGCTCCGAGTACAACCTTGACTCCATTGCCCGTACGTGTGGCCTGGAGGGAGGGAGAGGGTGGGGAGGGGGCCTGGAGGTCCCTCATTCATGACCATCTGCCTGTGCTCCCCTGCAGAGAGCTGCTTGAACCTGGAACTCCGGTTCACTCCTTTCCAGCTGTGCCACGCCGAGTGAGTCAGCCGGGGTGGGGTACAGTAGGGTGCGGGTGTACCTGCAGGGAGGGGCTTAGCAAACGAGACCGCAGACCTGCCCATAGACAATCACATTCTCACACTGACTTTTTAACACATTGTTAAAAATCGGGACTGTCCCGCCAAAAGCGGGACGTCTGGTCACCTTAGTTTAAGGTGTCCGTGAACCCGGCGTGGCTGACGGGCTACCATTTTGTTAGCGCCAGACTAGATAATCAGAGTTCATTGAGCACCCGTGTTCTAGATAGCTAGAATTCTCGGGTTCTCGGGATCTCGGTTTCTAGATTTGAGATCTTTCCCATGAGCTAGAAATGCTAAATTTTCTGGAGTTGGGAGCTCGGAGACTCCAGGAACTGAAAGTACTATAGTTTGATAATTTTGAGGTTCTGTCCTGATCAAGTCCTAACATGATCATAGTTCAGGGAGCCACCCTACAGATCGTCTAGGATCCCGAGGTTCTAGGATCCCTCACTGTGAGGATTCCATTCTAGAGCCCTGGATTCCATCCTGGAACACCGATGGCGTAGCACAGGTGCTGGCAAACTTTTCCTGTAAAGGCCCGGGCGGCAAATATGATGAATATTAGGCTTTTGAGGGCCAGACTGTCTCTCTCACAACTTACTTGTCTGTTGTTAGAGCAGGAAGGCAGACATTGACGATGTAAATGAGTGGGCATGACTGTGTTTCAATAAAGCTTTATTCGTAAAAACAGGTGCCAGGTTGGATTTGGCCTGTGGGGTCATAGTTTGCCAGCCTCTGCTCTAGCAGGTGAGAGTTGTAGAGACTGATCTTCTGGATTCTATTATGGGATCTGGATGTTCTACCATTCTGCATCTGAATGTTCTCGGTGGCAGTTTATACAAGTCCTAGTCGTCCAAAGGAGACAGAGAACAGAACTAGTTCCAGAGGAAGAGATCCTAGTGTCCTGGGCTCCTGCGACCCTCTCTAGAGTTTTATGTTACCCTAGAGGCCCGGTGCACGAAATTTGTGCACTGGTAGGTTCCCTAGTGGCTGTTGGCCGGGGCCTCCCTTCCCCCAGCTGCCTGCCACCTTGGCCTGGAACTGCTCGCTCACCTGCTGCACCATCCCACTGAGGTCGCGCACTCGTTGAACTCCCAATCAGTCGAACTCCCGCCCGTAGGGACAGTTTGCATATTAGCCTTTTATTATATAGGATCCCTAAATCTCATCCGGAATGAAGACTATCAGATAAGGGCTCTCGAAATGGAAGGTTCTGGCATGCTCACTTTCTATAGTTCTGCACCCCGAGGTTCTGCCCCTGGATCCAGGGGGCTGGGTCCCAGGATGCTGGGGTTCTCGGAGGCAGAGTTTTTGCACAGGCTCTGCCACAAGGGGGTCCTCGCTGTCTCTGCTTCCAGGGTGCAGGTCGGGGATCAGCTGGAGACCGTGTTCCTCCTGAGCGGGAACGACCCGGCCATCCATCTCTACAAGGAGGTGAGGCGGGCGGCGTGGCGGGCACAGCCCTGCCGGCGTCCTCCCAGGACGGCCACTGATCCGCCGGGGCTGGGTCTTGGTTCTCCCAGAACGAGGGGCTGCATCAGTTCGAGGAACAGCCCGTGGAAAACCTCTTCCCAGAGCTCACCAGCCTGACCAGCAGGTAGGAGAGCCCCTGAGGGTGGCCAGCGGGACCAGGGCAGGTGGCCGCGGAGAGCCCAGGTCCTGGGAACTGACCCCTAGAGAAAGCAGGTGGCGGGGATTTCCTCGGAGAAATCAGGCAGCAGCGGGGGTCCCAGGGCTGCAGGGCGGGCCGGGTGGGGAGGTGGGACGTGGGACCGGAACCCGGTGACGGCCTCCAGCCCCTCTGTCCGCCGGCTCCCCGCTCCAGTGTCCTCTGGCTGGACGTCCACAACCTCCCCGGCACCTCCCGGCGACTGACGGCCCTCGGCTGTCAGAGCGGTTACGTGCGCGTGGCCCACGTGCACCAGCGGAGTCGAGGTGAGGGCGGGCCCCGGGGGGTGGGGGGCAGGGAGGGCGCGCTGAGGGAGACGGCAGGGTCCTGAGTGCCCTCCCCCCGGCCCCGCAGAGGTTTTGCAGACGTGGACAGTCCTGCAGGATGGCCCCATCTCCCGCGTGATCGTGTTCAGCCTCTCGGCCCCCGAGGGTGAGCCCTGGACATGGGGGGACGACTCCGCAGGCTCGGCGACCCCGCACCCACACGTGTGCCCTGCTCCTGTCCAGCCCTCCCCCCTCCCCCCGCCCCGCCCCTCCCCTCCCCTGTGCCTCTGGAGCTGCAGTGTGTCCTCCTCCCTCCACGCCCGCAGGTCTCCCCTCCAGCTCCCGCCCCTCTGTCTCATCTGGGCCCCAGCGTGGGCCTCTGCCTTGCCCGTGGGGGTGTGCTTCACCCTGCGCCGCCGTGGCTGTCTCTGCTCCCGGCCTCACTGTCCCACCACCCGAGGTCTCGCCTCTGCCCCCTGCAGGTCGCTGTGCTCCCCTTACCGGGTCCGTCCTTCACTGCTGCCTCCCGGGCTGACCTCGGCCGTCCGCCACCTGTCCCCGTGTTCGTTTTCCCTCCCACCGTCCTTCCTTCCGTGGCCCGGCCTTGGGCCTTCCTGCTGTCCCCAGCCTCTGCCTCTTCTGCTGCCGTGGTCTGACCCCAGACTTTCCGTCCCCCCGGTCTCTGGCCTCAGTCACCCTCTCTTCGTCGCACTCCTGGCCCTGCCTCTGCAGCACGCCCTCAGCTCTTTCTTCTGGGGTCTCACCTGTGCCCCTCTCACCGAGGGGAGGGGGGCGTGAGGAGGGCCCTGGACCTGTGCCCCCAGACCCGCCCCCCACTCATGTTCTTTCTCCAGAGACCACGGCCGGGCCGCGGCGGGAGGAGTACAGCGTGCTCGTGGCCAGCATGCTGGAGCCGGCCGTGGTGTATCGGTGAGGGGCCCGGGCGCGGGGCGCCGTCTCACCTCCTTCCTTTGCTCCGGGGTCTGACCTTGTCCTCCTCAGCAGGAAGTCCCTTTGGGTGAGGGTGTTCAGGGCTGGGCAGGGCAAGGTGCTCATGTCCCAGGGAGAGGGGGCAGGTGTTTAAGTCCAGAACTCGCAGGGGGGCGTGGAGGCGTTGGAACGGGCACGAGCTGTCTGCTCTCCCTGTGAGAAAAGCTCGGTGTGTAGCATGTGCCGATCGCCGTGGTGTAAAGACTCGCACGTGGGAGAGTTCAGGCCACTGCCATGGTGCCAAGGCTTGCAAAACTTGTGAGAGTTTCCTCTGGTGAACCAGCATGAGGCAGCTGTGGCCACCCGTTGGGCAGTGAGGATGCCCAGTGGGGACCAGGCGCCCTGGGGACAGTGTGGGTGTCCATGTGGGAGTCAGAGGGTCCCACCTCCGGGGGGAAGTGGGGGTTTCAGATGGGGGAGAGCAGCTGAGCCGTGTGCGGAAGGGATGTGAGTCCCCCTGGGCGGGTGGGAAGACGATGCGATTGGAGATGAGGGCGTGCAGGCCTTCGAGGTGGGTGCTGGGATCTGACCTCGGCCTGCCCCTGCGCGGGGGACCCTCAGGGACCTGCTGAGCCGGGGGCTGGAGGACCAGCTCCTCCTGCCCGGCAGTGACCAGTTTGACAGCGTCCTCTGCGGCCTGGTCACCGACGTCGATTTGGACGGGCAGCCGGAAGTCCTGGTGGCCACCTACGGGCAGGTAGGACCTGCGGGCAGGGCTGACTCCCACCCTCCCCTCCGCCGTGCCCGGCGCCCGTGTAACCCGGCCCCTCGCCCCTCCCTGCAGGAGCTGCTCTGTTACAAGTACTGCGGCCCCGAGGCGGGGCTCCCCGAGGCCGGGCCCCCCGAGGCCGGGCTCCCTGAGGCCGGGCCCCCCGAGGCCGGGCCCCCCGAGGCCGGGCCCCCCGAGGCCGGGCGCGGGTTCCGCCTGCTGTGGCAGCGAAGCTTCCCCAGCCCGCTGCTGGCCATGGCCCACGTGGACCTGACGGGGGACGGGCTGCGGGAGCTCGCCGTGGTCTCCCTGAAGGGCGTGCACATCCTGCAGGTAGCGGCTCCGCGCTGGGTCCCTGGAGGGCGAGCCTGGGATGGGTTTCTGTACACCTGCTTGATGGAGGGCGTGTTCACAGGGAATGTGTGTGGGGGAGGGGGGGCGGGGAGTAGATTCCCTCACCTTCAGGCAAGGAGACTGGCTGCAGGCCCCCTCTGGGGGGTGGGAGTAATCTTTTCCTGGGAGGTGGTTCCTGTTGACGCAGGAGAGCGCCCAGGAGATGGGGCAGCTGGGAGCACTCACAGCTGACCGGGAGCTCTCATATCTGAGGAGCACTCACAGCTGGTGGACCAATCACAGCTGAAGGGGAGTGCTCACAGCTAGAGGGGAGCATTCACAGCTGGAGGGAGCGCTCACAGCTGGAGGGGAGCACTCACATCTGAGGGAGCACTTACAGCTGGAGGGGAGCATTCACAGCTGACCGGGAGCACTCACAGCTGAAGGGGAGCACTCACAGCTGGAGGGGAGCACTCACATCTGCAGGAGCACTCACAGCTGGAGGGGAGCATTGACAGCTGGAGGGGAGCGCTCACAGCTAGAGGGGAGCACTCACAGCAGCAGGAGCACTCACAGCTAGGGGAGCACTCAAATCTGCAGGAGCATCACAGCTGAAGGGGAGCACTCACAGCTGGAGGGGAGCACTCACAACTGGCAGGGAGCACCCGCTGATGGAGGGGATTCTGACACACCATCTGTCCCCCCAGTGCCCCTTGGCCTCCCTGACTTTTGTCCTTCATTCCTTGTGCTTTGTCACCTCGGTCTCGTCCCTGTGGCCTGGCCCAGATCTGCCCTGTGATCTGACCTCCATCCTTCCCTTTGCCCTCCATGACTGTGCCCTTCTCGCTGCAGCCACCCCTGTTGTGCATGTGACCGGCCTCATTCTGGCCGTGGTCTTCCAGCAGCAGCTGCTGAGCTTCGGGCTCTGGAGTCCCACTTCCCTCCCTGCCTGCAGGGCGGCCCCCAGCCCCCCTTCCGCAGCCAGTCTCCAGCTTTCCGCTCCAGCCCTTCCTTAGTCCAACCTCCCAACTTCCCGTTGTGGGCAGGCCCGGGAGCTGTGGCCCGCTGTCCAGCTTTCGGCTGTCCTTTGGCCTCTGACCCTTCCACGCAGCCTGACTGCCGTTCCCCCGTCACGGTCTCAGATCCAGCCGTTCCAGGGGTCTAGGGTCCAACCCCGGTTCTCCATTGCAGATTCACCTCAAGCTAATAGAGTCTGACCTCTGACCTTTTCCCCCTAGCCCAGCCCCCGCCCCTTCGGCCATGGTGAGCCTGCTTCCTCCATCCGGTCCGTTTCCTGGACCCTTCCCCGTGCTGTCCAGTCTGGGTCTCTCCCTGCGTCTCACCTCACTGCCTCCTCCGAGTCTTTGCTTCAGCTTGTCCTCCGGTCTGTCCCGCAGTGGAGCGGCCTAGGGTGGGCCTCTGGGGAGCCATGCAGGGCAGCCCCTGGGGAACCAGTGGAGGAGGTCAGAGCTGAGTAAAAGGGAATGAGGTCAGTCTCCGGAGCGGCCCGAGGCCAGACCCTCAGGAAGGGCACAGGGCCCTGCGGGCGGCTCCATTAGTCAGAGCGCCGTCCCAGCACACCCAGCGCTGGGGGTGCTCCCCAGTGAGGGCACATGCAGGGGTCAGCCCACAGGTGCAAAAGTAAGTGGAACAACAGATCGATGTCTCTCTCTTTACAAAATGTATACGTGTGTGTGTGTGTGTGTGTGTGTGTAAATTTTTTTTTAAATGGGAAGGGCATAGGTTCCTCTCACTGGAAAGCTCAGAGGTTAGGCCACAGGAGGCGTCTGTGCTGGGACCCTGGCGGCAGGACTACCCTTCGCTGTGCTCGAACCCTCCCGTCACCCCGCACTGCGATTCGTTTTGAGCATTTCACCAAGATCTCTGTCCCTTCTGCGTGGGCCCCACCTCAGATTCCCAGCCATCTAGCCCCGCCCACTCCCCTACTCCCTCCTGGGACATTCCTCTCTCGTCAGCTTTGCTCCGCCCTCCTCTGTCCTTTTCTCGCCTGCGGCCTCGCCTCAGCCTCCCCGGGAGACCTCCCTCCCACAGAACGCAGTCTCCCTCATACTTTGGTCCATCCCATCCCTTCCATTGGCTTCCAACCTCAGACTGACGGCTGGACCAGGCCTGTTCCCCCCGCTGGAATTCACTGAAGGCCAGAGACCTGTCCCACCCACACACCGTTTGCTCTCCGGCCCGCCATGCTGGGCTCCGGGCCCTTGGGGGGTCTGCCCGGCACCCCTCAGCTCTCAGCCCGCCCTCTCTGTCCCCCCAGCACAGTCTGATCCAGGCCTCGGAGCTGGTCCTGGCGCGGCTGCGGCACCGAGTGGAGCAGAAGAGACGGCGGACACAAGTGCCGGGCGACAGGGCGGGCCCGGGGCCTGCTGGGACGTCCGCCTCCTGAGCACCCACCCCCTGCCCACCACCGGGGCGCTCACCTCCAGCCCTTCCCGGGGGGACGAGTCCTGAAGGAGGCATGCCTGGCCAGCCCCGCCACCCCCACCCCCCCGCTGGGACTGTGAGCCTCTGCCCTGCCACCTCTCCCAATGCACCCTCTGTGCCTCAGTGTTCCCACTGAAAAGGGGTGACCTCACCCCTCCTTCCGCCCCAGGTGAGGTCGCAGCCACCGATTGTATTTCTGTCCCGAGGAGCTGAACTCGCTGTTGTCTTCATTCTTTTGTTCGGCACGCGAGTCCTCGGAGCCCGGCGCCAGGTGCTGGGCTGGAGTCGCCCAGAGGCACGGAGCAGGGGCATGGGACAGGATCCAGGGACCGGCCAGAGCAGGACGGAGAAGAGACCACAGTGTGGACCTCAGAGCGGGGAGGAGGGTGGGCCCTCGCAGGAAGGCTGAGGTTAAACCGCCCTGGAAAGGCCAGACCTCAGGCAGCAGTTCCGGCCGCTGTGCCTCGGAAGGTTAAAGCATCAGTACCTGACCTCGCCCCCTTAGGTTGTCAAGTAAAATAATGACAACAGCCCTGGCCGGTGTGGCTCAGTGGATAGAGTGTCAGCCTGTGAACAAGGGTCCCAGGTTCGATTCCGGTCAAGGGCATGTACCTTGGTTGCGGGCACATCCCCAGTGGGGAGTGTACAGGAGGCAGCTGATCGATGTTTCTCATCAATGTTTCTAACTATCCCTCTCCCTTCCTCTCTGTAAAAAATCAATAAAATGTATATTTTTTAAAAATGACAGCAGCAGGGCCAGGGTGGCTCAGTGGTTGAGCACCAGCCTGTGAACCAAGAGGTCACCAGCTGGATTCTGGATCAGGGCACATGCCTGAATGATGGCTCAATCCGTAGGGGCCATGCAGGAGGCAGCTGATCAATGGTTGATGTCTCTCTGTTTATCATTGATGTTTCTTTCCCTCTCTGTCTCTGAAGTCAAATTAAAAAATGTGTTTTTTAAATGACAACAGCCAACACAATAACTTCGGTGTGATCAAATAGAAATTACACGTGTTCGTGTGTGTGTGTGTGTGTGTGTGTGTGTGTGTGTGTGTCAGAGCGGCGACCAATCTATCTGTGGGCGGGCACAGAATGTTAGTGATGAGTTCGTGCATCCCATGAGATGAGAAAGGTTGGAAGCGGCTGCTACAGGGGAAAGGCCTGAGGTCGGGCCTGCAGGGGGGGCGGGTGAGACCCCAGTGCAGAGCTCCGGACCCGAGGCTAGTCCCAGAAGGGAACGAGGGAACGGGCTCGGAGGAGAGGAAAGGGTGCGAAGGACACGGGAGCTGTCCCTCTGCAGAGGGGTCTGAGGCCAGACCCCGTGGGTAACGCTGAGGCTGGACCCAGCAGGGAGTGATAGAGTCAGATGCCCCGGACGCTGAGGGAGGGCTCGGGATACGCCACGCTGGGAAGGAAGGACCAGGTCGGTCCTAAATGGAAAGCCCCAGGGGCTGGGCGCAAGGCTGACCTCCAGCCGCAGCCCTTGGCGGTGGGACTGGCACCTGGAAGACTGGGAGGTCTCTCCCTCTCCCCTCCCCCCCAGTGGAGGGCCAGTGACAAGAAGGTCTGCCCTCCCCCACCAGAGGCCAGGCCTCGGTCAGGAGGGCTGGGGAGTGACTCCGGGCAGGTCAGGCCGGGGCAGAGGTGGGTGGGCTCCTGCTCCCTGAGGAGACGTCCTTCTGGAAGCCCACCCGCCGGTGTGACACCCGCAGTGACAGCGAAGGCCCAGCCGCCGGCTCGCTCTCCGCGGGGTCTTGACGAGGTCGCCCGCCATTTCTTGGTGACCCTGGCTTCTCATCCCCCAGTACACAGGCCCACCCACGGGTGGGGACGGGCAGGGAGCGTATGTCTCCGGCTGCCCACCGGCACCGCCACCTCCTCTGTGCCGGGCAGGAGGGAGCCCTGGGGGACGCCGGGGGAGTGATCTGTGAGGCAAGGGCTCCGTGCAGGGCGCACACCGAGAGAGAGGCGTGTGTGGTGCGTCCACTCAAGGGCTCAGGAGTTAGTCTGGGCCAGTGGTCGGCAAACTCCTTAGTCCACAGAGCCAAATGGCAACAGTACGACGATTGGGATTTCTTTGGAGAGCCACATTTTTTTAAACATAAGCTATAGAGGTAGGTACATTGTTGTGAACTTAATTAGGGTACTCCTAAACTGGCCTTGGCTAAACACGCAAGGGGCCACAGAGCTGCATGTGGCTCTGGAGCCGCAGTTTGCCCACTGGTCTGGGCCACCTGGTCCTCTGCAGCTCACCTCCTGGCCTCTTACTAGGGACGGGATGTAGTGAGGCAGTTCCAGGGGCAGAGCCTGAGGCCACACTTCACACCTCTGTGACCCCGTTTCCCCATCTGCAAACCGGCTCACGGCGTCCACCTGGCAGGGGCCAGCTACATCTGCCTGTGCCAGGCGCTGACAGAGGCGTTTGTGGCTCCGCCTGCATGTGAGGAGGGCCGAGGGAGCGGCAGCGGCTGCTGTTATTATTATTAACGGGCGCCTTTGTGGCTGTTTCTGCTGGCGGGTGCGAGTTCGGCTCTGAGCGGCTCAACAGCCCGGTCCTCCCCCCAGTTCTGGGAAACGCTAAGTGTAGCTATTTTATTTTATTTTATTATTTTATTTTATTATTTTATTTTATTATTTTATTATTTTATTATTTTATTTTTAATTTAATTTAATTTAATTTGATTTATTTTATTTTATTTTATTATTTTATTTTATTATTTTATTTTTTAATTTAATTTAATTTAATTTATTTTTTGCGTCTTTGGCCCTTCTATGGATCAGAGACGGCGTGCGCTGGGGATGGGGCGGAGGATGCCTCGGAAGGACCCTCGGGGTCTCCCCAAACCGCGGAGAGCGCCCGCTGCCGCTGTCCGCGCCGCTGGTGCTGAACCCGGTGGGCGGGCCAGCGGCCGGGCCGCCTCCTCCCGCCCCGCCCCCCACCAGGCCCCTCCCAGGCCGCCCCCGCGGGCCGCCTCCCCTCTGCCCGCCCCTTCCTCCGCCCCCTCCGCGCTCCTCCTCCCGCCTCCCTCCTCCCTCCTCCCTCCCCCCCCCCCCCCGCGGGCTCCCCGCCTCCCTCCTCCCCGCCCCCTCTCCCTCCCCTCTCCCCGGCTCTGCCTCTCAGTCTGGCTCCGCTCTCCCTCTCCCTCTCCTCCTCTCCTCTCTCCCTGCCCGGCAGGCTCGCCCACACGGCCAGCCCGGGCCCGGGGGGACCCTTCCCAGGCTGTGGCTGCAGGTAAGAGCCCCCCACCCCAGTTGGCTGGGGGCGTGGGGAGGGGGAGGACGGGGTTCCCAGCCTGGGGGAGTGGGCGTCGGTGGAGCCAGGAGCCGCTTTCCCCTGAGCTCGCCCATGGCGGCTGGGGGGCTGCACAGTCCAGGGGGGATCCCCAGGCCTTCCCGAGGGGCGGGGGCGCCGCCAGCAGCCCACATCCTCAGCCCGAACCCCCGCCTGCCTTCCGGGGAGGATGGCGGGCTGGGGAGGGGGTGCCTCCTGGGCACCGAGGGGCGAGGGCACCCCCAAACCCCGCGACTTCTTGTGTCGGGGTCTCCTCTCCCGCCTGCACCTGGGGGTGGGGGGTTCCTGTCCGGGGAACCCCCGGAGCCCTCCGGCACCCCTGTCTGGTCTCCCGCTCCCCGGTCCTCTGCCCCCCGGCGTCGCCCCCATATAAGTCCAGGCTCCCCGCGCCCTCCCTGGCCATCTGGGCGCTTCCCGCGCCGCTTCCCCGTCTGGTCTGTGTCCGTCCGCTGTCAGGGCGCCGGCCCCTTCCCCTCTCCCCTCTCCTCTCCCTCTGCCCGGGCGTCTGCTCCCTCCTCTCCCCGGTGGCCCGCCCGCTCCCCTGCACACCTCTGTCCCGCCCCTGGCAGGGGGAGACCTGGAGGAAGGAGATACTCCTGCAGAGGGGGCTCCCCCAGGAAGTGAGGGGTCCCCCAAACTCCTCTCCCTTCTTCAGCCCCCGTCCCTCCCTCGCACCCTGCCAGCCGCACCTGCTCCCCACCTTCCTGTCCCTCTCCCCTGGAGACAGCTCCTTGTCCGCCGTCTGTTTCCGGCTCTGAGGCCGGTCCTAGGTCCTCGCCGTCCAGCCTGCGCCCCGTGTCCTGCAGACGGCACCAGCCCTGCTGCCCAGCCTCCCCGCTCCTCTGCTCAGGGACGGCCAGTCCTGCCTGCAGTCTCACCTCCACCCCTCTTGCTGTGTGTCCATTCACAGTTCCGCCTTTTCACGTTCCGGGCACCTTTCCTCCTCCAGACAGAGCCCCAGGTCCTGGGTCTGACCCCGCCAGCCCCTCCTGCAGCCTCACCTCCGCCTGCTCACGTGTGCCGCCTCAGACTGTCTCCGCCATCCCCGGGGACGGAGCTCAGAGGGTCCGAGCTGCAGGCCCCCGGCCAGGGCACCTTCTTTCCTGGGGGGATGGGCCCCAGGGAAGTGGACCGGAGTGAGGGACACGAGGGTGAGCCCGAGTCCGCAGCCCAGCTGATGGGGAGGCTCCAGGTGCCACGTGGCTCTGGCTGGGCTGAGGGAGCACCGGTCAGGAGTCCACAGATGAGTTTCCGTCTCTGCTCTGCTCCGACCTGAAGCTGTGACTTGGCCAAGCCCTGTCCCTCCTGGGCTCCAGCTCACCCAGAGCACCGTGTGTGTGTGCGTGTGTGTGTGTGTGTGTGTGTGTGTGTGTGTGTGTGTGTGAAAGATCCCCAGGCTGAGACATCGCATGCTCACCCGTGTGTGTGTGTGCATGCACATGCAGGTGTGCTGTACATGTGTGTGATCCCCAGGCTGACACATCACATGGCTCCACCTGCAGCAGTACATGTGCACGTTTCGGAGCCTGGGTCCCCAGCTTGCACATTTGTGCGAGGGATGGCGGGCAGCTAGGAACCACCCCTGCCCTCAGCAGAGTTCGGGCCTGAGGGAGGAAGCCAGACCGGACCCCCTCAGGCTGGCAGTCCCAGTCTGCTGAGGAGGTCCCCGAGGTCCCGGAGGCCTGTGCTGTCACAGCGGGGTGCTCACCAGCTGGCTCTGGAGATGGGGCGGCCTTCTGCCCTCCCGGCTCCGCCCTGGCCTCAACCTGATCCTGTGGCCCCCAGGTTCTCGGCCCAGATCAGATTTCTCCTCTGCTGAGGGACAGGCGGGAGGAAGCGGGGAGGGGGGGGGCTCTCTGCTGTCCCCGGCCATTTCACAAATATTTATCTTGTGCCGTCTCTCCTCCCCCGAGGCCTCCCGAGAGGAAACCAGGATTTTGAGGGGAAGGCATGGACCAGCCGGCGCGGTGGGCAGGAGAGCAGGCGGGAGCCCTGGCTGGCCCTGGCCTTTCCGGGCGGCTGCAGGGGACAGACAGGTGGCTGGACCTGAGCGAGGCTCCAGGCCGTGGCCCTGCCTGTCAGACAGAGGCCGGGAGATGCTGAGACGAAGGCTTGACTCCCAGGTGGCCCTTGTTCCTTCTGAACGCCGAGGAGGCGGGAGGGGGGGCTGGAGGGAGAAGAGCCGTGAGTCTTTGCTTCGGATCCTGATGGCTTTGTAATTATGCCGTCGCTAATTAGGGGGCTGCTAATTAGACATATCATTAGGGGACTTGCCGCTGGGGGGCTAATTGTGCGGTGGCCCTTTAAGAATCACCCCTCTCTCCCGCCCACACACACACACACACACACACACACACACACTCCTTCCCAGGGAGGTTCTGCCAACATTCTGCCTCCCTCTCCTGGAGCAGCCAGCTCCCAGCCGGGGAGGGTGCGCGTGAGGAGGTGGGTGTGTTGGGAGGGGCTGTGGGCTGGGCGCGGAGAACTGGCTCCAGACAGAAATGGAAGGTGCTGGGGGGGAGGGGGGGCGCGGAGAGGCTGGTGGCCAGAGCAGGGGGGGGGGGGTGGCGGTTGGGGGTGCAGGGGTCAGGGTTGGTGGAGGCTAGGAGGTCCCCCTCCCTTCCTCTCTCAGTTCCTTTTTTTGCAGGTTGCTGTGTTCCCATGGCAACGCAGGGGCGGGGCAGGGGAGCTGGAAGTCAGGGCCACTCTTGGGAAGGGAAACTGGGAGCCATAGGGTTGTGGCTGGGGGACCTCGGGCAAGTTACTGGGCCTCTCTGAGCCTTGGTGCCCTCACCTGGGAAGTGGCAGGGGGGTCCCCCCAAGAGGGCTGGTGCCTGGTGCATACCATGTTCAGAGACGAGGACATCTGGGGGGGCCCCTTGAAGAGAGGGGAGGCGGGGGGGGGGGCGGGGATGTGGAGGAGAATCCGAGGGAAAAGGAACAGCAGGTGCAAGGCCCCTGAGGCAGGACTCGCAGCGTCAGGACCATGGAGGCGGTGGTGTGGCTGGCTGACCGAGGGAGCGGGGAAGGAGGAGGGGCTGAGGCCAGTGAGGCCAGAGGGGCCGGGGCCGGGGGCCAGACGGTGCGTAGGAGCCGGGCAGAGCAGGGGACTTTGGTGCTGAGTGAGGAGGGAGCCACGGAGGGTTCTAAGCACTGATTTGCATTTTTAGAAGAAATCTAGACAGACAGACACGGCCCCTCTAACCCAGGACCAGACGCAGGAAGAGAGACACTGAAATAGTAGAGACCCCACACCCACAAACAGGACAAAACCTCCAAAACCTTCCTATGGCACAGCTGCTGAGGAATGATGCCCCTCACAGAGACGGGGCCCTGGAGAGAGACACCTGCCACGGGGGGGGGGGGGGGCGGGGTGTGACAGGCCCTCCAGCCGCCCCTTCTCAACCTCACCTCAGACAGACAGACAGACAGACAAACAGACACCCCTGCAGCCCAACTCCGAGCATGAGCGCTCTGAGGGCCAAGTTGGGAACCATTAGAATCACCTGATGCGTCGCCTCCAGCCCTTCACCTCACCCACTAAACTGTCAGTCTGTGCTTTTTGTGCCTGGCTTCATTCATTGCACTGCGTGTCTGTGAGATGCGTCTGTGTTGTTGGGTGTGTCAGTAGCCCACTCCTTTTTCAGTGCTGTATACTATTCCTCGGTGTGACGCCGTGATGCTTCTCCATTTTACCGCTGACAGGCATCTGGGCAAAGTGGCAGCTTTTAGAAGTGAGGCTGCTGTGAACACTCTCGTAGTCCAGCCGGAGTGGCTCGGTTGAGCGATGACCTGTGAACCAGGTGGTCTCGGTTTGATTCCGGGTCAGGGGCATGTGCCTCGGTTGCAGGCTCAGTCCCCAGTGGAGGGCGTGCAGGAGGCAGCTGATCAATGATTCTCTCTCATCATTGATGTTTCTATCTTTCTCTCTCTCTGCCTTCCTCTCTCTGAAATAAATTTACATATATACACATATATACATATACATACATACATATACAGATATCTATACTAATAAAAGGGTAATATGCTAATTAGACAGGATAAAGCCATGGTGGCAGAGGCCAAGGCAGAGGTGGTTAGGGGCGATCAGGCTGGCAGGAAAGAGCAGTTAGGGGTGATCAGGCCAGCAGGGGAGGGCAGTTGGGGGCCATCAGGCTGGCAGGGGAGGACAATTGAGGGTGATCAGGCTGGCAAGGGGCAGCTAGGCATCAATTAGGCTGGCAGGGGAGCAGTTAGGGGGTGATCAGGCTTGCAGGCAGAATCAGTTAGGGGCAATCAGACAGGCAGGCAGGCGAATGGTTAGGAGCCAGCAGACCCAGAATTTGAGAGGAATGTCTGACTGCCGGTTAAGGCCCGATCCCATAAGGACATACAGCAGTTGGACATCCCCGGAGGGGTCCCAGATGGGAGAGAGTGCAGGCTGGGCTGAGGGACACCCCCCCCCCCATCCCAGTGCACAGATTTCATGCACTGGGCCTCTAGTATGCATATAATACACACACACACACACACACACACACACACACTTTTAAACACTCTTGTGTATGTTTAGTCTATTGGTGGACACATGACCTGTTTCTCCTGGGTAAAGCCTGGGAGCAGATTTGCTGAGTTGTAGTGTGCACATGGTTCAGCTATGGTTTCCCGGAGTGGTTAGACCAATTTACAGTCCCATCTGCTGTGCATCTGTCTTTGCCTTTCTGTGTCTTTCTGTGTCTATCTTCGTCTCTGTCTGCCTCCCTCATTCTCCATCCTCCCTGTATCGGTCCTCAGCTTCTCCTCGGTCTCTATCCTCCCTGTATCGGTCCTCAGCTTCTCCCTCGGTCTCCATCCTCCCTGTACCGGTCCTCAGCTTCTCCTCAGTCTCCATCCTCCCTGTATCGGTCCTCAGCTTCTCCTCGGTCTCCATCCTCCCTGTATCGGTCCTCAGCTTCTCCCTCCTTCCCCATCCCCAACAAGCCTTGACTGCCATGTGTCAGGGAGGGGTGCACTCCTCTCACCCAGACTTCCTCCTCCTTCTCCTACCCCTGCAGGATCCCGCCACCCTCCATGGCTGCCCTGGCCTTGGTGGGGTTTGCGCTCCTCCTGGGGGCTCCCCCATGCTTGGGGGCAGCTACCCCGACCCCCTCTCTGCCGCCCTCACCCACCAATGAGAGCGACACCAGCACGGAGGTCTGCCAGGGTTCCAACCGCTGCCAGCCCGGCGTCCTGCTGCCCGTCTGGGAGCCGGACGACCCCTCACTGGGCGACAAGGCGGCGCGGGCGGTGGTCTACTTCGTGGCCATGGTCTACATGTTCCTGGGCGTGTCCATCATCGCCGACCGCTTCATGGCCTCCATCGAGGTCATCACGTCCAAGGAGAAGGAGATCACCATCACCAAGGCCAACGGCGAGACCAGCGTGGGCACCGTCCGCATCTGGAACGAGACGGTGTCCAACCTCACGCTCATGGCGCTGGGCTCCTCGGCGCCCGAGATCCTGCTGTCCGTCATCGAGGTGTGCGGCCACAACTTCCAGGCGGGCGAGCTGGGCCCCGGCACCATCGTGGGCAGCGCCGCCTTCAACATGTTCGTGGTCATCGCCGTGTGCGTGTACGTCATCCCAGCCGGCGAGAGTCGCAAGATCAAGCACCTGCGGGTCTTCTTCGTCACCGCCTCCTGGAGCATCTTCGCCTACGTCTGGCTGTACCTCATCCTGGCCGTCTTTTCCCCGGGGGTGGTCCAGGTGAGCAAGGAGCCCGGGCTCCGCCTCCGTGCACGCACGTCTGCAAAATCCAGAGGGTGGGGCCCCGGGTTTGCATCTGCAGCGATGCATGCTCAGACCCCAGAGGGCGCAGGGTCCCGCCCTGAGCAAGAGCTTCGGGCTGGAGAGGGAGGGCACGTGGGGCTGGAGTCCCGAGGGTGCTCCCAAGCCAAGTCTCGACGGTGCTCCGGGCCCTGGAAAGGGCTCCTCTGCCCGCGTGGGTGGGGAGGAGGAGGGGAGGTTGCCATGGGCGATAGTCCCACCCCCAGAAGGGGCGCCTTTGAGTTCTCACCAGGGAGCCCCGTGGGCCGCGGAGTCCTTGTGGTCTGTGCAATGCACCCTGCTGTTCCGGGAGCCAGCTCCTCCCTAGGTGTGGTCACGCTTCCCCGCGCTTCCTGCCTTCTGCATTATTGATTCCTCCTTTTCCCCTAAGACCTGCCCCGTTTGTACAGTTCCCGCTACGGTCGCGGTCGCGTAAGCCAGCCTCGTGTTTCCTGACAGTGCTAATTGATCTGGGGACCGGGTGCAATTTGCATAATTATCCATGGACACACACACACAGATACGTGCCCACATCTGCCTCCTCGGACTCTGTATTTCCCAGACACGCAGTCAAGGTTTGCACCCTCCAGTCACCATTCACCCGTGATTTCTGACGTGAGGATCATGTATGCCACCTGACTGTAATTTTTTTAAGTATATTTTATTTATTTATTTATTTATTTATTTATTTATTTATTTATTTTTTTTTTTTTTTTTTTTTTTGCAGAGAGGAAGGGAGAGGGATAGAGAGTTAGAAACACCAATGAGAGAGAAACACCGACCAGCTGCCTCCTGCACACTCCTGACTGGGGATGTGCCCGCAACCAAGGTACATGCCCTTGATGGGAATGGAACTGGGGACTTTTCAGTCCGCAGGCAGATGCTCTATCCGCTGAGCCAAACCGGTCAGGGCTTGACTGTAATTTTTACTCACAGCAGCACAGGCAGGAGTCCAGTCCCCAGCAACGACCACTCTGCATAATTTATTCCAATGGTGAGGCAAAACTGAGACCCAGCTGCATGGTGTTCACCCACACTCACACGCCCATCTGCCTCTCGCTGTCCGGTGTCTTTAACCCGCATCCGGTCCAGCCTTCGTTTAAAACATCTGCCTAATTGATCTCCCACAATCCCGAGACTGCAGCCTGCATTTGCATAATTTATTTATGGGCCTGCCTAATTCATTTGCACGCATGCATAATTTAGTTGAGGCTTCCCAGGATTCCTTCACACGAGTGTAATGTATTCCTGCATATCTGTCAGGTTTCGCCCGTTACAGTGTCTTTTCGGGAAGGGTCTCGGAGGTAGAGGCATAAAAATTCTTTGCGGATGATTCAAAGGCAGCACTGAGGGCCGAGAAGGCGGAGAGGAGAGGGGGAGAGGGAGGCAGCAGCAGCGGGCAGAGAGGGGGCTGGTGGGGAAAGACAGCCACTGCGGCTGACCCTGGCTGTGGCCCTGAGCTTCCGGCTGCCATGGCCAATAGTACAGAGCGCTGTGCCTCCGTTTTCTTTTGTCTTTAGCTTTAATTTTTATTTATCTATTTTCGAGGAGGGACGAGGGGGGGAGAGCGAGAGATATATCAATTGTTGTTTCTCTTATTTATGCATTCGTTGGTGGATCCTTTTTTAAAATATATTTTTATTGATTTCAGAGAGGGAGGGAGAGATAGGAACATCAGTGATGAGAGAGAATCATCGATCAGCTGCCTCCTGCATGCCCCACACTGGGGATCAAGCCTGCAACCGGGGTACATGCCCTTGACCAAAATAGAACCTGGGATCATTCAGTCCTCAGGCCGGTGCTCTATCCACTGAGCCAGCCCAGCTACAGCTGATTCTTTAAAAAAAAAAAAAAAAAAAAAAAAAATATATATATATATATATATATATATATATATATATATATATTATTGATTTCAGAGAGGAAAGGAGAGAGAGAGAGAGAAACATTAGTGATGATAGAGGAGAGAGAATCGTTGATCAGCTGCCTCCTGCATGTCCCACACTGGGTATCGAGCCTGTCACCGGGCATGTGCCCTGACTGGGAATAGAACCGTGACCTCCCAGTTCCCAAGTTGAGCGTCACAGGTAGACAGACACTCAACCACTAAGCCGGGCAGTGGGTTGGTTGCTTCTTGTATGTGCCCTGATCAGAGATCGAACCCGCAACCTTGGCCTACCGGGACGGCACTCCAACCAATGAGCTACCCGGCCGGGACACTGTCACAGTTTTCAGGCTGTTAACAAGGTTTCCAAAATGGTCTTTGAGGAGGATTTACACCAAAACCGTGAAAAGAGTTTTAGACACCGCGGATGAGAGGTGGAGAGGGCGGGGGTGGAGGGGAGGTTCCCCCCGAGAAGGAGCCGGCTGGGCTGTAGGGAACAGAGGGTGTAAGACGCCACAGCTCCCGGTGGAGAAGCAGCCGCGGAGGGTTCTGGAACACAGAGAGGAGCACAGAGACCAGGATTAGGGGAGGTTTGGGGAACAGCTGACGGAGCTGGCACGAGGTAAGATGGCCCCAGTTCCTCCTGGATGCTCTGAACTGGGCAGGGAGAAGCGGAGTTTGGCTCTTCTTCTCCCCAGAAGTGCTGTGTGATCTCAGGCGAAGCCAGTGTCCTCTCTGAACCTCGGTTTTCACATTTGAACCATGGAAGGGGTTGAACTAGACCACTGGTTCTTTAAAATATAATTTATTGATTTTGTACAGAGAGGAAGGGAGAGAGATAGAGCGTTAGAAACAGCGATGAGAGAGAATCATCCATCAGCTGCCTCTCACACACACCCTACTGGGGATATGCCCGCAATCAAGGTACATGCTCTTGACTGGCATCGAACCCGGGACCCTTCAGTCCCCAAGCCGACGCTCTGTCCATTGAGCCAAACCAGTCTCAACTAGACCATTGGATCTTTAAAAATATGTTTTTATCGATTACAGAGAGAGGAAGGGAGAGGGAGAGATAGAAACACCCAGGAGAGAGAATCCTTGACCAGCTGCCTCCTGCAGACCCCCCCGCCCTTGGGGGTCAAGCCTGGAACCCGGGCATGTGCCCTGACTGGGAATCGAATCGTGACCCCCTGGTTCAGGGATCGACACTCAACCACGGAGCCACACCAGCTGGGGCTTTGTTGTCGTTAATCCTCACCTGAGGACACTCTTTCCGTTGATCTTGGGAGAGAGTGGAAGGGAGGGAGAGGGAGAGGGAGAGGGAGAGGGAGGCCGGGAGAGAGAGAAACATCAATGTGAGAGAGACACATCCATTGGTGCCTTCCACATGTGCCCAACTGGGGCTGAGGATCGAATCAGCAATCCAGGAATAGAGCCCAAGACCTTTTGGAGCACAGGCCGGCTCTCTAACCACCATACAACACTGGCCAGGGCCCGACTAATCGTTTTTGGCCCTTCATACCTGAGACTCCTTTTTTATAACCAATAATTTGTTATATGCCCTTTATTCTGCTGACGGAAGCTTCTTAGGTAAGAAGAGAGAGGTCTTCTAGCCTCGGAGTTTAGCCGGTGGGCCCTGGAGCCAGAGGCCTGGGTTCAAATCCCACCTCTGCTGCTTCTCAGCGGTGTAACCCTGGGCAAGTCCCTTACCTGCTCTGTGCCTCAGTTTCCCCGCCTGTAACCTGGGGGCCACCGTAGTGCTAGCTTTACCGGGCTGCGTGAGGGTCCGCTGAACAGCTGCCTGTGGGAGGGCTTGGGAGGGCTTAGGACCGCCCGCCAGGGATGGAGTGAGGCTGAGCTGTTTTTCTCATGAATGAGCTTGAACTTGCCTCTGCTGCTGGCTTCCCCGGGTCCGTGCAATGCCTGAACTGTGACATACAGGAGAGTGACCTCTCACAGAACAGTGTGCATTTCCACGTGTAAGTGCTTCTGCACGTCTGCTGAACAGTGCTGATGAGGGAGCCACAGGCTGACACCTGCTTATAGAGAACAGGCCCCGGCCAGTTCAGCTCAGAGGCTAGAGTGCCAGCCTGTGGACTGAAGGGTCCCAAGGGCAAGTGCCCGGGTTGTGGGCTCGATCCCCAGTAGGGGGTGTGCAAGAGGCAGCCGATCAATGAATCTCTGTCATCACTGATGTTTCTATATCTCTCTCCCTTTCCCTTTCTCTCTAAAATCAATAAAAATGTCTTTAAAAAAGAAAAGAAAAGATCAGCCAAAACTGATCTGGCTCAGTGGATGGAGCGTCGGCCTGAAGACTGAAGGGTCCCGGGTTCGATTCCGGTCAAGGGCATGTGCCTTGGTTGCGGGCACAGCCCTGGTAGGGGTTGTGCAGGAGGCAGCTGGTCGATGTTTCTCTCTCATCGATGTTTCTGACGCTCTATCTCTCTCCCTCCTCACTGTAAAAAATCAATAAAATATACTTTAAAAAAAAATAAAAAACAAGAAAGAAAAGATCAGAGACCATTCCATGCCAGGACTCAAACAGAGGAGCAGGTGGCCGGGGGTGGCCAGGAGGTTAAAAACGAGGGCCGTTCGTGGCTGGGAAACCGCCCAGGAGCGAGCCTCACACGCACCGAAGTCAGGGCGGAGCTCCGTGCTCGGTTAGAGGCGGCTCGCCCTGGCAGACTGTCCAGTAGGAGGTTCGAAACGAAGTGGGCAGGACGTGGATGGTGGGGGCGCTGCCCCAGGAACCTCTGGATGTCCGCCAGCCGGAGCTCCCCAAGGATGTGCACCCATAAGCACCCTGGAGTCCTGACCCCCCCGCTGGGGGCGTGCCTGCCCACCCTGTGCCATGGGGGCCCCACAAGACAGACGGGGCCGGTGAGGGTCTCTGTCAGCGGCCTTCCAGGGAGCAAAGCCGGTCGCAGGGGTGTGAGGCTGTCCCCTGATGGAGAGAGGATCCCCCGCAGCACACACGGTGGCCGGTGCGGTGCCGGGGGGCGGGGATCACCGAACAGCGTCTTCCCACAAACCCGCCTGCTGGCTTTTGTGCCGTCTCACCGTCTCCAGTCCTGCCTTCTCCCCGCGCCCTCAGCAAACACAGCGACAGGGCCCGTGGCCATGGATCTTAAAAGATCTTTCCCGGCCAGACTCATGTCTAAGTACCTCTGGGGCCATCAAATGGTAAATCCTCTCTACTCTTTCCTGCTTCATCTTTTTTTTTTTGTCCTTATTCATCCTCACCCGAGTATATTTTTTTCATTGGTTTTTTTTTAAAAAAATATTTATTTTATTGATTTTTTACAGAGAGGAAGGGAGAGAGATAGAGAGCTTGAAACATCGATGAGAGAGAAACACCGACCAGTTGCCTCTTGCACACCCCCTACCGGGGATGTGCCCGCAACCAAGGTACATGCCCTTGACCAGAATCGAACCCGCGACCTTTCAGTCTGCAGACCGACGCTCTATCCACTGAGCCAAACCGGTTTCGGCTTTTCCATTGGTTTTTAAGGAGGGTGGAAGGGAGGGGGAGAGACAGAGGATGTGAGAGAGGCATATCCATCAGTTGCCTTCTGCATACACCATGAGCCTGCAGTCGAAGCACATTGACCGGAATTGAACCCATAACCCTTCAGTCCCCGGGCTGATGCTCTAACCACTGAGCAACAGCTTTTCTTCCTTATCTTTAACGAGGAATGTATCGTTTGAGTTTTTTATTTATTTATTTATTTTTTTTTTACAGAGAGGAAGGGAGAGGGATAGAGAGTTAGAAACATCAATGAGAGAGAGACGTCAATCAGCTGCCTCCTGCACACCCCCCACTGGGGATGTGCCCGCAACCAAGGTGCATGCCCTTGACCGGAATCGAACTTGGGACCCTTGAGTCTGCAGGCTGACACTGTATCCACTGAGCCAAACCAATTTGGGCTGAGTCTTTTTTAAAAAAATATATATATATATTTTTTTAAATATATATATTTTATTGATTTTTTACAGAGAGGAAGGGAGAGAGATAGAGAGCTAGAAACGTCGATGAGAGAGAGTCATCGACCAGCTGCCTCTTGCACACCCCCCACCGGGGATGTGCCCGCAACCAAGGTACATGCCCTTGACCGGAATCGAACCCAAGCCCCTTCAGTCCACAGGCTGATGCTCTATCCACTGAGCCAAAACAATTTCAGCTAAAAATAATATTTTATTGATTTCAGAGAAGAAGGGAGAGAGAGAAACCTCAGTGATGACAGAATTATTGATGGGCTGCCTTCTGCACGCCCCTCCCTGGGGATCGAGCCCACAACCCAGGCAAGTGCCCTGACCGGGAATTGAACCGTGACTTCCTGGTTCATAGGTCAAAGGTCAATCAGTGAGCCACGCCGGCCGGCTGGGCTCCATTTGAGGCTTTACCGGCTATTTTCGAAAAGAGTGGCTGGTATGGGTGCGTGGACGCTTTTGCAATGAGCCCAGTAAGGATAAGGATAGCAGTAACAGTAGTTTCACATTTTGCGTATTCTCCACGTCAGGAGCGGACGATGCCACGTGCCCCAGGGCATTGCTCACTCGGTCTCGGGCATGTGCCCACCTTGTGGGCCAGACGTCCGGGGCCTGAGCCGGGCGGGCATGGCTGGCTCTCTGGGGAGGTGGCATGTAAACATGGGAGCTGGGTTCCTGAAGCTGAGGAGCCAGGCAGTGCCTCTTTTAGAATCAGCCCTGTCCCTGAGGGCCCGCTTCTGAGAACGGCCCCCCAGGCGCCCGGCCAGGCTGCATTCTGGGGCGGTGGGGGGTGGAGGGAGGCTGGGGGGGGGGGACAGGAAGTCACAGCTCTGCCCCGGGGCTGGGGCTGCGGGAGGGGCCGCCTTGGTGTGGGAGAATATCTGGTTCCTGGCACTGGGGCAGCTGGGCAGGATCCTCAGCGTGAGAAAAGGGGGTGAGTGAGACCAGGAGAGAGACAGGGAGAGAGCGACACATAAAGACTTCGAAGCATCTCACTAGGGAAGGAGATAGAAATCCACAAAACATGCAAAAGGACGCGGGGACCCTGGCAGGTGGGAGCGCCGGCCCAGACACCAGAACGCTGCGGGTTCCAATCCAGGTCGGCATGGACCTAGGTTGTGGGTTCGATTCCTGGTCAGGGTGTATATGGGAGGCAGCCGATCTCTCTCTCTCCCCCTCCCTCCCTCTCTCCCTCTTCCTCTCTCAAATCAATAAACATATCCTTGGTGGGAATTAAAAACAAAAAGAAAAGAAAGAAAGAAAAAAGGAAGAGAGAGGAGGAGGAGGAGGAAAGGTAGACAACAAAAAAACCAGTAGCCCCAGCTGGTTTGGCTCAGTAGGTAGAGCATCCGCCTGCGGACCTGAGGGTCCCGGGTTCAGTTCTGGTCAAGGGCACATGCCTGGGTTTTGGGCTTGATTCCCAACGGGGGCCATGGGGGAGGCAGCCAATCAATGATTCTCTTTCGTCATTGATGTTTCGATCTCCCTCTCCCTTCCTCTCTGAAATCAATACAAATATTTTTGAAAATTTTATTTAAAAAAAAACAAAAATAAACACAACAGACACGAGACTGAGGCACAGACCAACACAGAGAGATGAGGAGAGAGAGACAGAGAGGAACAGAGACCAGAGAGAGGCAGAGATGGAGGCCGGAGATGGGGAGGAGGGGAGATGGGAGAGGTGGGGAGATGGGGAGGGGAGGTGGGGAGATGGGAAGGTGGGGAGATGGGGAGGTGGGGAGGTGGGGAGGTGGGGAGGTGGGGAGATGGGGAGGTGGGGAGGTGGGGAGGTGGGGAGGTGGGGAGATGGGAAGGTGGGGAGATGGGGAGGTGGGGAGGTGGGGAGATGGGAAGGTGGGGAGATGGGGAGGTGGGGAGGTGGGGAGGTGGGGAGGTGGGGAGATGGGGAGGTGGGGAGATGGGGAGGTGGGGAGGTGGGGAGGTGGGGAGGTGGAGAGGTGGGGAGGTGGGGAGATGGGGAGGTGGGGAGGTGGGGAGGTGGGGAGATGGGGAGGTGGGGAGGTGGGGAGATGGGGAGGTGGGGAGGTGGGGAGATGGGGAGATGGGGAGGTGGGGAGATGGGGAGATGGGGAGGTGAGGAGATGGGGAGATGGGGAGGTGAGGAGATGCAGGAGAGGGACCACCTGCGGGGGGCCGGGACCCAGCCGTGGGGGTGGGAGCGCCCCCCCTGGGGGCCGCGCTGACCCGCGCCCCCGCCCCCGGCCCGCAGGTGTGGGAGGCGCTGCTGACCCTCATCTTCTTCCCGGTGTGCGTGGTGTTCGCCTGGATGGCGGACAAGCGGCTGCTCTTCTACAAGTACGTGTACAAGCGCTACCGCACCGACCCGCGCAGCGGCATCATCATCGGCGCCGAGGGCGACCCGCCCAAGAGCATCGAGATGGACGGCGCGTTCATGGGCGCCGAGGCGGCGGGCGAGGCGGGCGGCCCGGGCGCCGGCCCCGCGGAGGCGCGCGAGCTGGACGCCAGCCGCCGCGAGGTCATCCAGATCCTCAAGGACCTGAAGCAGAAGCACCCGGACAAGGACCTGGAGCAGCTGGTGGGCATCGCCAACTACTACGCGCTGCTGCACCAGCAGAAGAGCCGCGCCTTCTACCGCATCCAGGCCACGCGCATGATGACGGGCGCGGGCAACGTGCTGCGGCGCCACGCGGCCGACGCCTCCCGCCGCGCCGGGCCCGCCGACGCCGCGGCCGAGGAGGAGGACGACGGCGCCAGCCGCATCTTCTTCCAGCCCGGCCTGTACCACTGCCTGGAGAACTGCGGCTCCGTGCTGCTGGCCGTGGCCTGCCAGGGCGGCGAGGGCAACAGCACCTTCTACGTGGACTACCGCACGGAGGACGGCTCGGCCAAGGCGGGCTCCGACTACGAGTACAGGTGGGTGCGGGTCCGGGGCAGGTGGGTGCGGGTCTGAGTACAGGTGGGTCTGGGTCCGAGGTCAGTTGGGAGGGGGCAGGTGAGTCCGGGGGCAGGTGGGTCCGGGTCTGGGTGCAGGAGGGTCCGGGGCAGGTGGGTTTGGGGCAGGTGAGTTTGGGGCAGGTGGGTCCAGGTCTGGGTGCAGGTCTGTCCGGGCACAGGTGGGTCCGGGCGCAGGTGGGTCCGGGGGCAGGTGGGTCCGGGGCAGGTGGGTCTGGGTACAGGTGGGTCGGGGACAAGAGTGGGTTGTGCACGGGGCCTCGGGGCTCCGGGGTTCCTGGCTGCTTCTGTGCCCATCTTCTCTCTGCTATGAGCAGGCCTGCAGGATTCATTCCTTCACTCCTTTTTGACAAATTTTTTAAAAATATTTTTTTATTGATTATTTTTTACAAAGAGAAAGGGAAAGGGATAGAGAGTTAGAAACATCGATGAGAGAGAAACATCTTTCAGCTGCCTCCTGCACACCCCCTATTGGGGTGTATTCGCAACCAATGTACATGCCCTTGACCAGAATCGAACCTGGGACCCTTCAGTCCGCAGGCCGACGCTCTATCCACTGAGCCAAACCGGTTTCGGCCTTTTTAACAATTTAAATAGAGCCCTCGCTGGTTTGGCTCAGTGGATAGAGCGTGGGCCTGCGGACTGAAGGGTTCCAGGTTCGATTCCGGTCAAGGGCATGTACCTTGGTTGCGGGCACACCCCCAGTGGGGGTTTTGAAGGAGGCAGCTTATCGATGATTCTCTCTCATCGATGTTTCTAACTCTCTATCCCTCTCCCTTCCTCTCTGTAAAAAATCAATAAAGTATATATTTTTTTAAAAGCACATCAGGTGATGTCAGCACTGTTGGGAATGTGAAGTAGGATAAGAGGGGAGCCACGGTGCCCCAATTGCCCCCGGGTCTTTGGCTCCACCATAAAGCAACCCACCCCTGCGCTCTACTGAGTTCCACTGCCCTCTCCTCACATCCCTTTGAACAGACCTGGGACCTTCCCTCCTTCAAGCCATTCCTACTGAGCACCTTCTGGGTGCCAGGCGCTTTCTTTGCTGGCTCACCATACAAATGCCAGCAAGATCACTTCCCTTGCCAAAACCCGTTGGGCTCAGTGGATTGAGCGTCAGCCTGCGGACTGAAAGGCCCCGGGTTTGATTCCGGTCAAGGGCATGTACCTTGGTTGTGGGCACATCCCCAGTAGGAGGTATGCAGGAGGCAGCTGGTTGATGTTTCTCTCTCATCGGATGTTTCTTACTCTTTATCTCTCTCTCTGTAAAAAAATCAATAAAAAATATATATTTTTAAAATCACTTCCCTGCCCTCCTGTGGCCCACAGAATTCTTTATCTCTTCGTGGTTCTGTCCATACCACACTCTTTGGAGAATTGTAGCTTTGCAGTATAGCTGCCTTATCTCCTGGGCGTGCAAGTCTCCCATGGTTTCCTAAAATAATCGCACCTGTAGTGTGCCTGCTGTGCCAGAAACGGGCCTGGGCAGCGGAGGCAGCAGCCACTGAAACACCCCAAATCCCTGCCCAAACAGTCAGCGTCCTCACAGGCCATTAGGGAGAGACAGGCCATTAGGAAGCACACGCCGGATACACAGAAAAGCCAGGAAGTGGCAAGAGCCATGAAGGAAACCGAGGCAGAGGACGGGAGAGAGTTTTGGTGGCTGAGTTCTGCCCCGGTCCCATCTGCTCACCATCCGCCACCCCTCCCTCCCACCCTCTCCCTGAAGCAGTCAAAGGTCGCTGGTCCCGCCATCCCACAGCAGCCAGGCCCCCGCGCAGATTCACGAATCGCTCAGCTCTGTCGTGCATTCCTCTCTGGCTTTAATTTTTTTAAATATATTTTACTGGTTTTTTTACAGAGAGGAAGGGAGAGGGACAGAGAGTCAGAAACATCTATAAGAGAGAAACATCAGTCAGCTACCTCCTGCACACCCCCTACTGGGGATGTGCCTGCAACCAAGGTACATGCCCTTGACCGGAATTGAACCTGGGACCCCTGAGTCCGCAGGCGGACACTCTATCCACTGAGCCAAACCAGTTAGGGCGGCTTTAATGTTTTATATTAATAACCATGGCGCTCCGTGTGAGTTGCCGGCAGCATGGCCCTGTACCCATAAACACTTGAGCGTGCCTCTCTAAGAATGACATTCTCGCCGAAACCGGTTTGGCCTGCGGACTGAAAGGTCCCAGATTCGATTCCGGTCAAGGGCATGTACCCGGTAAGGGGTGTGCAAGAGGCAGCTGATCGATGTTTCTCTCTCATCAACGTTTCTAGCTCTCTATTCCCTCTCACCTCCTCTCTGTAAAAAATCAATAAAATATATATATTTTTAAATGACATTCTCCTACATAATCACAGACGATCACCACACTCGGGACATTCGATACCAGATCAATATTATTATAATACACAATGTGCCGTCCCTGTGTGCGTCTCCCCAGCTACCCCTGCAACATCCTTATGGCTGCGTTTCCCCCTCCCTCGCTTCCCATCCATCCCAGAACCACGCACTGTGTCTGATCGTCATGTCTCTTAGTCCGCTTCACTCTAGATCAGTCCCTGAGCCTTTTCGTGACTTTTGTGACACCGACACTTTTTAAAATATATATTTTATTGATTTTTTTTTTTTTTTACAATAATGTGATGTGACTCTGCCAAGGGGCTGTGAGCTCCTTGAAGACAGTCTGTTCTGGTGCTCAGGGAGTGTTGGTTCGGTGAATGAATGAATGAATGAATGGTGCCAAGTTCAGGAATGTGCGCTTTCTCCTGGGGGTACCTGGGAACACAGAGGGTTTGTCAGAGCGTGACAGGGTCAGTCCTGGGCCCTACATCACTTCTACCCCAAGTGTGGTCCATGTCTGGGGGAGGTGTCTGCATCCCTTGGGAACTAATTAGAAATGCAGAGCTTTGAAACCTGCAGCTACAGCACCAGAGCCTGCATTTTCACAGGATCCCCACGAGATGTGTGCGCAGGTTAAGGTTTGAGACTCGTGTCTATGGGACCCTCCAGAGTCTCTCTCCTCCTTGGGACTTGGCATGTGCTGTTCCCTCCGCCTGGCGAACCCCTGCCCACAAAAGCCTTCTCCAGGAAGCCTGCCCTGATCTCACAGTTGTCATTATCTGTGGAACGCTGGGCCTACTCTGTCCTGTCCCCCTCCCGCATACCCTCCCCGCCGGAAGCCCACCTGATTCCCCCTCAGTATTATTTTTTTAATGCATTTTATTGATTTTTTACAGAGAGGAAGGAAGAGGGATAGAGAGTTAGAAACATGGATGAGAGAGAAACTGATCAGCTGCCTCCTGCACACCCCCCACTGGGGATGTGCCCACAACCAAGGTACATGCCCTTGATCGGAATCGAACCTTCAGTCCGCAGGCCGACGCCCTATCCACTGAGCCACACCGGTTAGGGCCCCTCAGTATTATTTGTTTAATGCCTGTTGTCCCGCGGCACTGCCCCCTCCTCCGGGAAGCCTGCCCTGACGCCCTCTGCCCCCGTTGTTGACCGCCTGCCCTCCCCCCTCTCCTCCCGCCCCCCGCTGCAGCGAGGGCACGCTGGTGTTCAAGCCGGGCGAGACGCTGAAGGAGCTGCGCATCGGCATCATCGACGACGACATCTTCGAGGAGGACGAGCACTTCTTCGTGCGGCTGCTGAACCTGCGCGTGGGCGACGCGCAGGGCATGTTCGAGCCCGACGGCGGCGGGCGGCCCAAGGGGCGGCTGGTGGCGCCGCTGCTGGCCACGGTCACCATCCTGGACGACGACCACGCGGGCATCTTCTCCTTCCAGGACCGCCTGCTGCACGTGAGCGAGTGCATGGGCACCGTGGACGTGCGCGTGGTGCGCAGCTCGGGCGCGCGCGGCACCGTGCGCCTCCCCTACCGCACGGTGGACGGCACGGCGCGCGGCGGCGGCGTGCACTACGAGGACGCGTGTGGCGAGCTCGAGTTCGGCGACGACGAGACCATGTAAGCGCGCGTGCGCGGGGGGGGGGGGCCCGCGGCCCGGGAGGGGGCGGGGCCTGCTGGGGTGGAGCTGATGGAGGGGGCGGGGCCCTGACCGGAAAGGAAGAATGAGTGGTTGGGCCTGGTGGTGAGCGGGGCCTGCTGGAGGGGGCGTGGCCCTGGCCGGGAAGGGGGAGTGAGTGGTTGAGCCTGGTGGTGGTGGTGGGCGGGGCCTGATGGAGGGGGCGGGGTCCTGGCCGGGAAGGGTTAGTGAGTGGTTGGGCCTGGTGGTGGGCGGGGCCTTATGACGGGGGCGGGTCCTTGCCCGGGAAGGGGTAATGAGTGGGTGGGCCTGTTTGGGCGGGGCGTGGTTGTGGGGAAAATGGGCGTGGTCTAGTTATGGGCGGGGCCTAGGTAGGTCCTCCCACCTCTGTGCCTGGGCCTCGCCCAGCTTCTCACCTGTGGGCACCTCTCCCCTTTGCGCCTGTGCAGCCTCCCACTCCCTCCCGCAGCCTCCCCCGCCATCTCTGCTAATCTCTAGATCTCTGTCCACAGTATCCAGCTCTCTGGCCGGGTTATATTTCAGGAAAGAGTTCTCCATGCCTTTCTATCGTTCTGTCTGTCTGGCTTGGGTTGAGAACTTGGGTTTAGAGGCTCAGAGCGCCATGTGTGGAGGGGAGAGAGTGCAAGAAGAGACAGACAGACAGACAGACAGACATGGAAAGGAAAGATCCGGAAGCAGAGAGAGGGGCCGGGTCGGGAGAGAGGAAGGAGGAAGAGGCGGTAGGGATGGCGTGTGGCCACGGTGATAGGAAGGGAGGGGGCGGGGCCTGGGAGAAACTGGTTGATTTGGGGACAAGTTGGGACTCGGGGAGGGGGAGGGTCAGAGAAGAGTAGGAGAAGGGCCTGGGCAGAGCGTGTGGAGCTGCAGTGGGAGTGGGTGGAGCTGGAGTGCGGCCTGCGGAGACCAGCGGAGGGTCCGGTGGAAGCGGGAAGAGGGTGAAAGGAAGGGCGTGTCTGTGGGATGGAACTAGGGCCTAAGGCACGGGTGGAGTCTGGGTAGGGACCCGAGGAAATCGACCTGGGCAGCGGTAGTGGGCGGGTCTAAGGAGATGGGGCGGGCCTCGTGGGGAGTAGGTGGCCCCTGGGGAGACGAGAGCCCCAAGGGAAATATGGGCACCGCTTTGGGAAAAGACTGAGTAGCAATATGGGGGGGGGGGGGCAGGCCCTGGGAAACTGGGGGCCTGGAGTCTGGGGAGTTGGGCTGGGTGCACTGGTGTACATCTGTAGACACAACCAGCACACACACACACACACACACACACAGTCACAAAATGTCACAGACAGGCATGTTGAAACCGGGCTGCTGTGACGCCCAGACACAGGCCACGGCCTGACACAGATGCCCAGGCTCCCCGGTGGGTGTCTGCAGCCGCACCTCCCCCACCCGCCTGCCTGGGATGCAGCCCGCCTGTCCCCCTGTGCCCGCTGCCTTCCGCCGCCCCCGCAGGCCCGTCTGTCTCCCTCCGCCTGCCGCCCACGCTCCTCCACCGCGCAGGCCCCCACCGCGCTCCTTTCCCTCCTCCTCCTCCCCCACCTCCGTGCCTGGGCCTCGCCCAGCTTCTCACCTTTCTCCACCTCCCCCACCACCACCCCTCGCCTCTCCCCTGTGCGCCCCTGCCGCCTCTCCCTCCCGCAGCCTCCCCCTGGGTCTCCGCTAATCTCTAGATCCCTGTCCACAGTATCCAGCTCTCTGGCCGGGTTATGTTTCAGGAATGAATTCCCTGTGCCTTTCCATCGTTCTGTCTGTCGGGCTCGGGTTTAGAACTCGGGCTTAGGGGCTCAGAGCACCATGCGTGGAGGGGAGAAAATGCAAGAAGAGACAGACAGACAGACACTCAGAGATAGAGGAGACCTGGAGGAAGAGGTAGAGATAGGGAGAGGCAGAGCCAGAGTCTCAGAGTGAGAGAGAGGCAGACAGAAAAGAGACACAGAGAGCATGAGAGAGACAGAAACTTAGAGACAACGCGAGAAGGAAACTGAGAGACAGAGACACAGCAAAGGAGCCCTGGCCAGTGTGGCTCAGTTGGTGGAGCGTTGCCCCCTGCACCAAAAGGTTGCCGGTTCAATTCCCAGGGGTTTGATTCCTGATTCCTGGTGCGAAAGTCTGCCAGAGCAACATTTCTCTCTCTCTCTCTCTCCCCATCTCCCTTCCTCTCTCTTTACAATCAATAAAAACATTTGTTTTTCAAAGGAGAGGGAGAGGGAGAGATTGAGACACTGAGGTGGCTGAAGGGAGAGATTGGGGGAGACGAGAGATCATCTGAATGAGCGCCTCAGTGGGACTCGGGGAAGGAGACGTCCAGGGGAAGCAACAGAGGGAAAAAAAACCAAAGAGGGCAGGTAGCAAGAGACACCAGGAAACAGCGTGAGAACGGGAATGGGTCTGGGATCAGAGGCCACTGTGGGCGGGAGCGCGCGTTTCCAGGAAACAGGAGGGCACGCAGGAGGGTGACGGAGAGTCAGGCTTGATCTCAGGAAGCCCTGCCCTCGTCTCGCTCCAGTCCCTCTCGCTGTCCCCACCAGCTGGGTTTCTCCTCCTGGGTCCCCCGAGGCCGTGCCTGTCATGGCGCCAGCTGGTGTCCGTGTCACTGCCTGTCAGTCACTGCCTGTCGGTGGATCATGGCGTGTCTCTGAGAGTGAGCGCCGCGCCTGTGCATGTGTGTGTGTGTGTGTGTGTGTGTGTGTGTGTGTGTGTGTGTGACCCTGTCGGCGTGTCACACTGCCAGCAGCTGTCTGCGTGGGTCAGGGTGTGTGAGGGGCGTATGTCAGCTGATACTGCTCCTTGCCAAGGTGCTTCAGCACCGCGGACAGCTCCCGGCCCACTCCTGAGTTGGGGGCCGGCCATTCTTTCCACCCACAGAAAAGTTAAAATAATCCTGAGAGCAGGAGAGGGTGGAGGTGGGCACATGTCCCCACACGACTGCTGTGTGTGTGTGTCTGTCTGTGCATGGGTGTCACAGCGACGTGTGCATTTGTGCGTTGAGATGGGTCTGCCGTGTGCTGAGATGGGCCTGCTGAGACCCTTTTGCTTGAGCTGTTGGCTTCGCCGTCCCACTGTGCGAGCACTGAGAAACCCAGGCAGAGAGAGAGAAAACGGATAAAGAAAGGCAGAGAGCTGGGGAGAGACTGAGCCAGAGAGGGTCGCAGCTAGAGACGGGGGACAGAGACGGAGAGGTAGAGACATCCGGAGGCTGAGAGATGGGAAGAGGGCCGGAGAGACTGAACGAGGTGCAGAGATGCAGAGAGAGAAAGACACGAAAGGAAAACAGAACCAAAAGGCATGGCCAGTGGGATCTACGGAGGCGGAGGGGGTCTGTAGGTTGGCCATGTCGCCGCCGCGGCTGTGGCGGGGGCGCCGTGGGAAGGGGCATCTGGTCCCTGAGAGAGACAGACGTTGCCACTCGCACAGGGGAGGGCTGCCGGGCGTGGGCGGTGTGATTGGCGGCGCTTCCTCTTCTGGGTGACTGTGTGGGCCCGTGTTTGTGTTTCTGGGTTCTGGGCTGGGCCTTGTGGTTCCTGCCGCCGAGTGCACTGCCGGGGGCGGCGTGTGGGCTTTCTGGGGCTCTGGGTCTCTGGGCTGGAGGGGGCGGTGTGTGTGCCTGAAGGGGAGGGATGGCTTCGGGCTGCTCCTCCCCGGCCACACCCCCGTTACCATAGCAGCGGGGATGCTGAGGAAATCCATGAGCGCTCTGCTAGCCTTCCAGACGGATGCGGGTTGGAAGGCAGGAAGCCAGCGGTCTCTTGGGCTGAGGGATTCGAGTGAACAGAGGCCTGTGGAAGGTGCCCCATCCTGGGCGTTGGGCAGTCCGTAGAGAACGGAAACGCATGGGGATACCTGCCCTGCGGGAACTTGCATTTTAGTGCCTGGGGACGCGTGGGCAAAGGATAAATGAAATAAACGCACACGGTGGACGGTGTGCTGGGACACAGTTAGGGAAGGTGGGGGCGGGCCGGGGTGGAATTCAGTATTAAAGGAGGTGGTGGGAATGGGCCTCATTGGACAAGAAGGTGGGACTGGCCCGGGTAGCTCAGTGGTTGGGCGTTGACCTATGAACACAGGAGGTCATGGTTTGATTCCGGTTCAGGGCACATGCCTGGTTGCAGGCTCAATCCCCATGGTAGGGTATGCAGGGGGCTACCAATCAATGGTTCTTTCTCATCATTGATGTTTCTCTCCCTCTATCTCTCTCTCTATAGATCTCTCTTTGTCTCTCTCTTTCTCTCTCCTTTTCCTCTGAAATCAATAAAGAAAATATTTTAAAAATAATAAAAAAAAAGAAAGAAAGAAAAAAGAAAATAAAGCCATAACCAGTTTGGCTCAGTGGATACAGCGTCGGTCTATGGACTGAAGGGTCCCGGGTTTGATTCCAGTCAAGGGCATGTACCTTAGTTGCAGGCACATCCTGGGCGGGGGGGGGGGGGGGGGGGATGCAGGAGGCAGCTGAATCGATGTTTTCTCTCTCATCGATGTTCCTAATTATCACTCTACCTTCCTCTCTGTAAAAATTCAATAAAAAGGGTGTTTTTTTTAAAGAAAAGAAAAAGAAGGCGGAGTTAGAGAACTTGAGGAGCGAGGGAGTGAGCCAGGAGGGACAGGGTTCTCGGTGGGAGGAACAGCCGTGTAAAGGCCTTGAGGCCTGCGTGGGCCTGCTTGTCCAAGGGACAGTGAGGAGGCTGGTGTGGCTGGAATGAGTGAGCTGGGGAGGGGGTGGGGCCAGAAAGGGAGCAAGGACCACGTGGCACGGGGCCTTGCAGACCGTTTGGACTCTGGTTGGTCCTGGCGGAGAGGGGTCCTGAACGCCCTGAGCAGAAGAAAGATCGACGTCACTTAGGTTGTATCAGACACCCCCGGACGCTCTTTAATAACCCTCAGCTTCCTCAGCTGTTTCCGGGCTTGTGCCTGCCAATGGGGATAATAAGAGACTGAGAGAGCCAAAACAGGTGTGGCTCAGTGGATAGAGCGTCGGCCTGCGGACTGAAAGGTCCCGGGTTCGATTCCCGTCGAGGGCATGTGCCTTAGGTGCGGGCACATCCCCAGTAGGTGGTGTGCAGGAGGCAGCTGGTCGATGATTCTCTCTTATCGATGTTTCTAGCTCTCTATCTCTCTCCCTTCCTCTCTGTAAAGAAATCAATAAAATATACTTTTTTTGAGAGAGAGAGAGAAAGAGAGAGAGAGTCTTCCTCTGAGGATGGCTGTGGGACTCGGTGAGATGACAGGACCTTGGACAGAGCGGGGCTCGAGGAACGGGGTGGCTGAGAGGGGAGTCATCGGTGGCTCAGGGGAGGGGCCTCACCCCCGGTGTCCTGCGTCCCCCGCCCAGGAAAACCCTTCAGGTGAAGATCGTGGATGACGAGGAATACGAGAAAAAGGACAATTTCTTCATCGAGCTGGGCCAGCCACAGTGGCTTAAGCGAGGGATTTCAGGTGAGGGGTGAGGGGCGAGGGGCGGGCTGTGGGAGAGAGAAAAGGTCCAGGGTGCAGGGACCCTTGGGGGAGGGGTCAGCTGTGGGTGCTCCTTCAAACTCATGGATCTGAGCTTCCCAGGGAAGCGATCTCACTCTCTCTCTGTCTGTCTCTCCCCAGCTCTGCTGCTCAATCAAGGTGAGTGGAGTTACCTCCTGGCTTTCCTGGAAAGGGGGTCCCTGCCGGGGGCCTCAGGGAGGGTCAGGGCCTTACACTGCTCTTCCAGGGGAGGTTTGAGGCTGGTGGAAGGTGAGGTAAAAGTTAGACTTTGAGTTGGTAGGGCCAGTTGAGTTTGGGGTTATAGCTCGGGGTTCAGAGGCCGAGATTGTTCTGTTTGTAGTTAAGGTCAGAGAGGGGAGTAAGTCATAGGATCCAAACTGGGTCTGCGGTGAGGACCGAGGGAGTCAGGCTTGGGGTTCATCAGGATCAGGACTTGGGACTTGAGACCAGGATTGGGACTTGGTCAAGGTTAGAGTTGAGATGGAAGCTGGTCTTCAGATTGGTGAGTAAAATTAGGGTCAGGGTCCGAGAGTGGAGGCTAGGGTCAGTGACTTGGAGGTGGTGAGAGGATAGAATTGGCGTTTGGGGTTATGGTTAAGGCTGGACTAAAGACTGTAATGGTCAGGGTAAGTAATACCAGCTGCTGTAACAAATAGGCCCCAAATCCCAGGCGATGAACACAAAAGTCATTCCTTGCTCGGGCGAAGTTTTCTGAGAGTGTGGGTGGCTTTCCTCAGAGGGGTAGGGTTGGTGCTTGGCTTGGAGCAAAGGATCAACATACTTTGGGGAGATAAATGAATCCAGGGGCAGCCATAGGAGTCGAGGTCCTAGATCTGTACTGAATCACCCTTCTTACCGCATTCCCTCAGTCACACTCTAGCATGTTTTCAGAGCTTTGGTAGAGAGACCAGGCCTTCTCCCTCAAGAGTGGTGATGATGTCCGTGATAATAAAAATAATGTTAAAAAAGCAGCTTTTCCGACTATCATGTGCCAAGCACTGTTCTAAACACTTCACATGAATTAATTCTTTTCTTTAACTCTTACAATTACTCCATGAGGTAGGTATTATCCTTGTGTCCATTATATAGATATGAACACTGAGGCACAGAGAGGCTAAAGCATTGCCCACAGCTGCACAGTGCCCACCTCAGAGCCCACCGCCTGAACCTTGTGGATCAGCCATAGGAACTGGGGCAGATGATGGTCAGATAGGAGGCTGGGCCAGGCTGGAGGGGTGTCACCAGATGGCTCTCCAGAGCACACAGGCAGGGAAGGCATCACAGACCCCATTAGGCAGGCCTCCCTGGAGTCTAACTCCCATCCCTCGTGCTGCTGCAGGGGATGGGGACAGGAAGCTGACTGCCGAGGAGGAGGAGGCTCGGAGGATAGCAGAGATGGGCAAGCCAGTTCTCGGGGAAAACTGCCGGCTGGAAGTCATCATTGAAGAGTCGTATGATTTTAAGGTGATTATCTGGGGCCTCGCTTTCCTGGAGTTTTGCCTGAGTAGTTTCCTCGGAGAGAGTCTAAGAGAGGATCGGCTGTGAGGGTCACGAGAGAGGGGCCACCAGAGGTCCACAGCCCCCATCCAGGTCCCTCCGTCAGCACCACGGACAGCACACGCCTCCCTTTTCCCTTTTGCTACCATGTTTCCCCGAAAATAAGACATCCTCCGAAAATAAGACCTGCTTACAGGTTTCCTTCTGAGTGAAATAGAAGGCATCACCCCCCCCCCCCCAAAAAAATAAGGCCCTCCCTAGGCTAACCATGAGAGATTTGGTCCACTGATTCTGAAAGAAATGGAGTCACAAGAAATTCACCAGGAAATTCAGGAATTGGATTGTTATGATGATGTTCCAGAGGATGAGGACATGATTGTCATTGAATAAATGAGTAAATTCTTGATACTGTAGGATCCACAGTTTGTCTGGTTTGTGTTGACAACTACCGTACTACCGTACCGTATACAGGTAATAAATTTCCTTTATTTTCATTTAACAATAAATGTGTACCGTAGTCTTCTTCATGGAAAAATAAGACATCCCCTGAAAATAAGACCTAGCGCATCTTTGGGAGCAAAAATTAATGTAAGACACTGTCTTATTTTCGGGGAAACAGGGTAATAGCACTGGGGCATGGAAGGTCGGGGACCCTTGAGCTCGGGGTGTGGGCCCCCAACCCCAGTCCCCCTCATGGGGCAGTCTTGGGTGATGGCGGACAACAATCTCTCTCCCACCCTCTCATCCTCAGAACACGGTGGATAAACTCATCAAGAAAACGAACTTGGCTTTGGTGATCGGAACCCATTCGTGGAGGGAGCAGTTTTTGGAGGCAATTACGGTGAGCGCAGGTAAATGGGGGGGAAGGAGGGAGAGAGAAGAGGGAGGGGTGGGGCGGGCAGAGAGAGATGCAGAAAGAAATGAATGGAAAGACAGAGGGAAAGAGAGACAAGGAGAGAAAGACAGAGAGAGAAAGAAAAGAGCAGGAAAGACACTGAGAGGGACAGACAAAAGAAAAGATAGAGATCAGAGACAAATGAGAGACAGGCACTCATAAAGACTCGCCAGAGAAAGACAGGGGCGGAAGAACTGAGAGCAATCTAGAGAATGAAGTCAGTAAGCCGCAGGGGTCAGGGAGGGGCAGACAGACCCAGAGAGAAAGGCGGAAGGAGACAGAGGGGCAGGAGAGGTCCCGCCCAGGCTTTCCTCTGGAGATCGGAGGGTGGAAACAGGTTAAAGGGCCTTCCCGCCCCAGATAGAGCCTGGGCTGCTCTGTTGCCGTGGAGACAGTCGCCACAGCACCCAGCTACACCCTCCCTGTAAGGTTTCCACCCGCCTTGGGCCTCAGACGGTTTCCTACTGCCCCCTTGTGGCCACAGACACTGGGACACTTGGGTCCCAGCCGGTGGTACACATTGGGGAAACGGAGACCCCGAGGCAGAGGAGGGACTGGCATGAAGTCCCACAGGGGAACCCAGGAAGCTGCGGGGGAACTCAGGGCGATGGCGGACAACACAGCACCAGTGTCCCATCAGGGGGGCCTAGCCGGGGGAACCGGAGCACAAGAACTGTGGTCGGAAGAAGCCGGTCAGAGGTGGGATCCAGAAACACCAGGCTTCGGGGATAGAGAAGCAGCGGGCAGCAGGCCGAGAGACCTCTGACCGGAGGCCTGAGAGAAATGAAGGCCACATCCTCGGATGGGACCCCCGGACCTGACCCTGTGGAGGACATTGCCGGGGACAGAGATGACCAGGGCAGCTCAGGCCCTGCCCGTGCGGAGCTCACAGCCCCGTGTGGGAGGCAGGCCTGTCACCAGAGTGACACCCCAGGGTGGGCAGAGCCGGGCTGGGGCCCTCCGGGAGCTGCAGGGGGGTGGGGGCTGGCTCAGGTGGAAGGTCGGGAGAGCTTCCTGGAGGAGGAGGCTTCTGAGCTGCGTCTTCGGATGCAAACAGGAGTGTGTCCTCTGTGCCCCGGCCGAGCCGCGTCTCCCCGTGGCCAGGGAGGGGTACGCTCGGTGGCAAATAACAGAAAACTCGGCCGCAAGCCGCTTAAGCACACGAGTTTCTTTTTCTCCCGGGAGGGGGAAAAAACCGGCAGGAGGCAAGTTAGCAGCAGCTTCGTAATGTCATTCAAGCCCCAGGTCACGTCTTTATTTCTGCGCTTCTGCTTCAGGCTTGCAAATCGGCCTCGGCCCCTCCAGGCGTCGAGTCTGTGTTCCAGGCAGGAAGAGAGGGAGCAGGGGGTCAGGGCAGCATGCCTGTCCCCAGTGAGTTCCCAGTTCCATTTAACTTGGGGTCGCAGCAGAGACCTCCCTCTTGGAGAGGTAACGTGCAGCACCAGAAAACCCCCCACACAGAACCGCTTAACGAAGCATTTACAAATTCAGGCGTTTGTTTCCGTAACAAGCCGTGTGGCTCAAGGTGGGGAAGGAACAACTGACCCGAATCCCCGAGCCCGCCAGCTCTCGTGGCCTCCACGGCGGAGCCACGGGGCTGCCCCACGGGAAGTGGCTTCGTCACGTGGTGGCCGCCTGCCTTTCACTCCCGGACTTGTTCTGAGTGACCGACCGGTCGGGGGTCACGGGGTCTCTCAGCAGCAGCCTTCCAGATGTTGTGCTTGGCACGCTCGTGTGCTCGTTGCTCTTCATTCATTGCTTTGTGCTCGTCAGTGGAGGGGGGTGGGGGGTGGACAACTTGGCATTTGTGCCTTCCCATCACACAAGTCACTGCAGGTCAAAGGCAGGTCGTGTTGGTCGCCATAGCGGACACCACCAACGCTTAAGAATGAGGCGTCCTTCAAAAGGCTCAGAAGGCACATCCACAACACGCCGCCCCTGTCAGGGAAGCTAGAGCTTTCCAGAAACCCTCTGTGTGGGCCTCCTTGCCAGACTGGCTCCCATGGCCACTGCTGCAAGGGATTCTGGGGAAGCAAGTACTTAGCTTAGGGCTACTAGCTGCAAGGCATTTGGGGAAAGTGAACGTTTTCATCTGAGGACATGGCCATGGCTAGCCGTAAGGGATCCTGGGAAAGTGACTGTTAGCTGGATACGTGGCTCTCTCTACCTGCAAGGGATTTTGGGAAATCCAGCATGTAGCTACTCTTAGCTGCAACGAATCGAAGAAACTGAACACCTCTTCCTGCAGATTACCTCTGTCTACCTGTGAATATTTCTACGTGGCTGTCGAGTAGCTGTAAAGGGATGTGGCCACTCCTAGCAGCAAAGGATCCTGGGAAGCTGGATATTTTTAACTGGGCATGTGGCCTCCTGGAACCTAAAGGGATTCTGGGAAAGTAAACATATATTTTTTTTTTTAACCTAACATTGGGTCTAACATTCTCTTAGCTGCAAGGGATCCTGGGAAAGTATTGTTATTAGCTTCTAACATGGACACACCTAGCTTCAAGGGATCCTGGGAGAGTGATTCATTTTACGGGACCGGCTGTCCGGGAAGTGGAACAGAGTGTGGCTGAGGCGAGGAAGGGGGCATGGGTGTGTATTGCCCCAGCTGGGTCGTGTGCCCACAGGGGACGAGGAGGAGGAGGAGGACGGGTCCCGGGAGGAGCGGCTGCCTTCGTGCTTTGACTACGTCATGCACTTCCTGACGGTGTTCTGGAAGGTGCTGTTCGCCTGCGTGCCCCCCACTGAGTACTGCCACGGCTGGGCCTGCTTCGGCGTCTGCATCCTGGTCATCGGCCTGCTCACCGCCCTCATCGGGGACCTTGCCTCCCACTTTGGCTGCACCGTGGGCCTCAAGGACTCCGTCAATGCCGTGGTCTTCGTGGCCCTGGGCACCTCCATCCCCGGTAACCCCCCGGGGGTCCCTGGCGGGCGAGGGTCCCGGAAACGCTGGGCAGTGAGGCCTAAGAGAAAGGTCCTGCAGAAATAGGCTGATAGAATCATCCAGAAGGCATGGGGTGGGTCCCAGAGGAATATCCTGGGGAATAATAGAAACAGTGTTTGGGGGGGAGGGGGCCCCGATTCACTGTGAGTAGAACGCAGGAGGTGGGAAATGCTGGAGGCCTGATTGATGATGGGTTCCATAGAAACGGGATGATCGTTTCTCCTTTCCTCCCCACCCCCACCCCCGCCAAGAAACCAGCTAGACCCATGTTGCTGGGCATGATGGGAACCAGGCCAGTGAGTTGTATTTTTGTTTTTTGTTTTTTTTAAAATATATTTTATTGATTTTTTACAGAGAGGAAGGGAGAGGGATAGAGAGCTAGAAACGTCGATGAGAGAGAAACATCGACCAGCTGCCTCCTGCACACCCCCTACTGGCGGGATGTGCCCGCAACCAACGTACATGTCCCTGATTGGAATTGAACCTGGGACCTTTCAGTCCGCAGACCGACGCTCTACCACTGAGCCAAACCAGTTTCGGCCAGGCCAGTGAGTTTTGAAGCTTTCAGGAAGATGAGGGAGCGAGAAGGAACCAGAGGTTGGAGGCGGCAGAGGGACAATAAATAAGACAGCGGGGTTTCAGAGACCGTCACTTATGTCCCGTCACAACACAGTGGCCGTGACTCCCTCTTCCCAAATAAACCCGGGTGAGAGTCCTTACAAACGGGGTGTCCGGGCCTGGCGTTCCCGCAGGAGCAGGGAGGCCCCGTGGGGGGGAGGCCGGACCCTTGTTTCCCCATCGCTGTGGTCAGCAGCCAGGGGTCCGAGGAAAGCAGCCCTTGGGACATGGCCTTGCCAGCCTGCCCTCCGGACCAGAGGCCGGCGTTATTAGCAGGATGCCCGGGAACGGGTGGGGCCACAGAAGCCAGGCCCTTGCTAGACAGAAACCACGTGGGGAACTGACGGGAAAGGGTTGCATGGGGTGGAGCCTGGCACTTATCTGGTGGCCATGGGCTGATTGGGCTCACGGAGAGCAGGCAGCGGGTCACGGGAAGCAGAGTGGATCCCACAAAAACCAGGCCGTGAGTCCCTCAAAGCAGGCCGAGGTCCACAGAAAAAAGATGAATCACATGGGAGGCAGGCAGTGGCCTGGCCGGCGTGGCTCCGTGGTTGAGCATCCACCTGTGAACCAGGAGCTCATGGTTCCATTCCCCTTTCCATCAGGGTACATGCTGGGGTTGTGGGCTTGATCCCCCAGAGGGGGTGCACCAGAGGCAGCCCATCAATGATTCTCTCATCACTGACGCTTCTATCTCTCCCTCTCCCTTCCTCTCTGACATCAATTAAAAAAATATTTTTTAAAAAAGAAAGAAAGCAGGCAGTGGATCCCAGTGAATGTGGGCAAGTCCCATAGAAAGCAGGGAGCGAGTCCCACAGAAATGAGGCAGCGAGTTCAACAGAAAGCAGTTGGATCCTGTAGAGCAGGCGTAGCGATGATGGCGAGGGACTTCCCTCTTGGGTGGGATCAGGGCCTCAGGCCCTTGCCCGCTGCAGGGTGCCCAGGGCTGTAGGGTGCCCAGGGCTGCAGGGTGCCCAGGGCTGCAGGGTGCCCAGGGCTGTAGGGTGCCTAGGGCTGTAGGGTGCCCAGGCCTGTAGGGTGCCCAGGACTGTAGGGTGCCCAGGGCTGTAGGGTGCCCAGGGCTGTAGGGTGCCCAGGACTGTAGGTTGCCCAGGGCTGCAGGGTGCCCAGAGCTGTAGGGTGCCCAGGGCTGCAGGGTGCCCAGGGCTGCAGGGTGCCCAGGGCTGCAGGAGAGAGGCGGGGCCAGCGCCTCCCGGGTCTGGATCGCAGGCCGCGGGGAGGATGTGGGTCTGAGGGGACCCAGGCGAGGGGACAGGTGGGCGCCAGGCCTGGGGTGACCCGCGCGTGTCTCTGCCCGCAGACACCTTCGCCAGCAAGGTGGCGGCGCTGCAGGACCAGTGCGCGGACGCGTCCATCGGCAACGTGACGGGTTCCAACGCGGTGAACGTGTTCCTGGGCCTGGGCGTGGCCTGGTCGGTGGCCGCCGTGTACTGGGCGGTGCAGGGCCGCCCCTTCGAGGTGCGCACCGGCACGCTGGCCTTCTCCGTCACGCTCTTCACCGTCTTCGCCTTCGTGGGCATCGCCGTGCTGCTGTACCGGCGCCGGCCGCACATCGGCGGCGAGCTGGGCGGCCCGCGCGGCCCCAAGATCGCCACCACCGCGCTCTTCCTGGGCCTCTGGTTCCTCTACATCCTCTTCGCCAGCCTCGAGGCCTACTGCCACATCCGGGGCTTCTAGCGCCCCCAGACTGGGCTCCCCGCGCCCCCCAGACGGCCACGCCCGCGCTCCCCCCCAGACGGCCTCCTGCCTGGGACTCCGCCTCCCCGCCTCCTGGGACTCCACCTCCCCGGCCCACGTGGCCCCGCCCCGCCCCTCGCCAGCCTCCCAGGTCCTCCTCCCATTGGCTACCCCTTCCAGCCTGGCCACGCCCCTGCGGAGGGGCCGCATCGAGGCCACGCCCTGCGGGTGGCCGGTCAGAGGCCACGCCCCTGGGGGAGGGCCCGCCTCGAGGCCACGCCCCCTGAGGACCCTGCTCAGACTTCCGCTGAGGACCCCCCAAGGGGAAGCGCCTCGGAACTCCGCCCTCCCAGGGGCCCCGGAAGGAGGCTGATGCACCCCCAGGAGACCCAGGATCTCAGCCATGTCCCTGCCCCTCAGGGAGCGCCATTCAGCCCCAGGACAGGGAGGAGGGCCGGCGGGGTGCATCAGGGGGCACACACCTCCCTGGTTTCTCCGCTCAGGCCCGGGGAGAAGGGCGGGGAGCAGCGGGGTTTCAGAGCCGGGGGGAGGGGCGGGCATATGTGGGACCTGCCACATGCCAGCGCCCCGCTCTCCTGGAGGGGCCCGTGTGTACATAGCGTGCTTGGGGGAGGGGTCGCGGGAGGGTGCATGTCTTGGGGAGAGGGGGTGACCGACTTCCCTTCGGAGAGGGCAGAGACCCCCCTCCCAGCCATGAGAACCGACTTTGGGGCGGAGGCCGGGAATCAGAGGGGGGTCCAGCCATTCCGCCCCCCAGACAATCCAGAGGCGCCCTCAGTGCCAGCTGATCCGAGCAGGACCCTCGAGGAGGAGGAGGCCGAGGGCTCCCGCGGACCTACAAGCCAGCACATGCTGCCACCTCTCTGCCGATGGGGAGCAGGGGCGGGGGGGGGCGGGGCTGGGGGGTATTTTTAACTTCGGGGGCCACCCGTCTGTCGGGAGGCCGCCTGCGTTTTCTTACTGTTGATGTTTCCCCCCCCCCCCGCGCAGAGGACATACTTGGGGCGTGGGGAGTGCCGCCCCACTTCTTGGGACCCCCCCCCCCCAGGATGACCCCGCAGCCCCCCCACCCCCGGAACACCCCGCTTCCCACGGGCTGTTAGCGTCCTGTCGTCCTGTGGTGCCCCGGCCCAGCGTCCCAGGCTGTTACCCACCCCCCTTCTCTCCCAGCTCATCAGCACCAGCCAGTGTCTCTTCTTTCCTCTGTGATTTCTGTAAAAAAGTTGCCATAAAACTTTGAAATTCTGCCTGGGAAACAGCCTTCCCGTGAGAAGTGGGGAGTCGGGGCGGGGGGGGGGGGGGCTCATGAGGACTTGGACTGGGGTTTCCGCAGCGGGGAAACCGGCCAGGTCATCTGGGTTTTTCCAGCCGGGGGACTCCCCCCCCCCCCCCCATCCTCTGCAGGACACACCCACATGCAACCAGCCACCCAAAAGGTCCACACAGCCGAAACCGGTTTGGCTCAGTGGATAGAGCGTCCGCCTGCCGACTGAAAGGTCCCGGGTTCGATTCCGGTCAAGGGCATGTACCTTGGTTACGGGCACATCCCCTGTGGGGGGTGTGCAGGAGGCAGCTGATCGGTGCTTCTCTCTCATCGATGTTTCTAGCTCTCTATCTCTCTCCCTTCCTCTCTGTAAAAGATCAATAAAAATATATTTTAAAAAAATAAATAAATAAAACAAAAGGTCCACACAGCCAGCCCCACCCCCTTAGCCATGCCCTCGCTCCTGGCCCGGAGCTCCCCTAGCCACGCCCCTAATCCATCTGCAGCAAAATATTCCTCTGCACAGGGCATTCTGGGAACTCAAATTCTGCCTGAGCAGGGGCTGGGGTTGGTGACGGGGGTTTCCCCGGAATAAAGCAAGTCACTTTCTCAGAATGCCGGAATAGGGGGAAGACTGGTGAATCCCTAGCTTTTTCGTGCCAGGGGTTAGCATGAAGGGAGTATGAGGGCCTGGGGGGTGGGGAGAGCTCAAAGGGACCAATGATGAGAGATCCCATCGGCCACGCTGAGGAGCTTGGAGCTTATCCTAAGAGCAAAGGGAGCTTCGGAAGGGATTTCAGTGGGGGATGAAGTGGGGCAGGCCATTGATATCACATTTACTTTTTTAAAAATATATATTTTATTGATTTTTTTTTTTCAGAGAGGAAGGGAGAGGGATAGAAAGCTAGAAACACCTATAAGAGAGAAATATCGATCAGCTGCCTCCTGCACACCCTCTACCGGGGATGTGCTTGCAACCAATGTGCATGCCCTTGACCGGATTGGAACCTGGGACCTCTCAGTCCGCAGACCGACGCCCTACCCACTGAGCCAAACCGGTTTCGGCCACATTTACGTTTTCACACGTTCCTTCTGGCTACCTGTGAGACTGGAGGCTGGGGGGCCGGGGAGGAGGCAACCCAGGAGGGCGTCCTGGAGTCGGGGTGGGGAGGAAGATGGGGAGAAGGGGGTGGCTTAGAGAGAGAATGGATCGGGGCCCTGGCGGGAAAGAGACGGGGCGCTTAGACTAGCGGGGAGAGTTGACGGAAGGGATGGGGACGGTGGACTAGGTTAACAACACAAGAGGGAGGGTGCAGTACCCGGGGCTGCCGGTAGAGGGAGCCGTGGCCGCCCGCCCTGAGCTGGAGGGCGCGAGCGGAGCGCCCTGAACCCCTGAGGCTTCTGCTGGGGCTGGAGAGCACGGACCCACGCCCAGGAGAGAAGGGGGGCAGAGTGATCACCCCAACTTACTCCTCCACCCACCAGTCTCCTGCTGGAGCCCCCCGTTGGCTCGACTCCAGCAGAAGCCAGAGGTCAGAGAGGGAATAAATAGCCTCACCTTCTGGGGAGTTTTCAGAGGGAGGTCTTTTCTGGGCGGGGGGAGAGGGGCAGGGAGAACAGGCGAGGGGGAGGCGCTGGGTGGAGGGGTGCGTGCTGAGGGCGGGATGCCTGTGGGGCGTCCAGAGACCACAGGGAGGGGACACCTGGAGCTCAGGAGGCGGCAGCCTGGAGGGGGATGTGCGATGTGTGGGCCATGAGGTGTCACCGAGCCTCGGGTGGGGGTGCAGGGTAAAGAAGGGGCGCGGGCAGTGCCTGGAGGGGCTCCGACATCTGAGGGGTTCCCTGTCCACAGAGAGGCGGGTGGTGACCTGGGCACGTGAGACCCTGAGAAGAGAAGTGACCCGGGATTTAGGGTGCGAGGAGAGCTGTTGGGTGGAGGGGTGGGGGGCAGAAGTCAGGCTGGTCCAGAGTGAGAAGGGAGAGGCAGCTGGGGAAACTGAGTCAGGGCATGGAGGCCCCACGTTGGAGGATCTTGAAGGAGAGGGGGGGCTGCTGGAGGGAGATGGGGCCCCACAGGGCTGTCCCCACGGGGGGGGGGGCAGGTGTGACGCAGCGGGGTGCTGGGTGCCAGGGCGGCCCAGAGAGAGCACTTGGTGCCGAGGTTGTGCCCGCAGCAGCTGGGAGGTAGGGAGCCCAGGGGCCAGGCTCCATGCTGCGCTCTCCCAGACACAGCCTCTTTCAAACCTCCGCTGGCCTAGGCCCGGCAGGCAGCTGAGGCTCCGGAGGGGAGCGAGAGGAAGGGCCCAGGTGGGGCTGCGAGGTCAGGGCACAGGGACGCGCCGGGCGGGGAGGTGAGTGAGGGCTCGCTCAGTGCCGGCTGTCCCCAGAGCTCGCGATGTGGATGAGATGATGGAAAACCTTACCGATGTCCCCTCACCCCCAAACCTCAGGATCCCCACCCAGAGGAGGGTGGCCAAGGGACTCAGCGTGGGAGGGACTTACATGATTTGCCCCGAAGAGACCCAGTCACAGGAAGGTTTGTTTCTTTTTTATTTTATTTTAAATATATTTTATTGATTTTTTTACAGAGAGGAAGAGAGAGGGATAGAGAGTTAGAAGCATCGATGAGAGAGAATCATCCATCAGCTGCCTCTTGCACACCCCCTACTGGGGATGCGCCCGCAACCAAGGTACATGCCCTTGACCGGAATCGAACCCGGGACCTTTCAGTCCCCAAGCCATAGCTCTGTCCCCTGAGCCAAACCATTTTTAGAGCAAGTTCACCACTGCCCTGGTCTCTTAGTTTCTTTGTATTGCTACATCTTTTTTAAATTTTTTTTTTATTTTTTGTATCTCTACATCTTGAACCATTGTGTGTGTGTGTATGTGTGTGTGTAAAATGCACTTACCATAAAATTTACCATTGTAACTGTTTTCAAGAGCACATTTCAGTAGCATTTCGTCCATTTACGATGTGCAACGCCCCCCCTTTTTTCATCCCCCCAAAGTTAGCCCTGAGCCCATTAGTAGTCACTCCCCAGCCTCTCCCCCAGCCTCTGTAGCTACCACTCTACTTCCTGGTTTGCCTTTCTGGACCATTCCATTCCATCATAGAATGGAACCCTGCAGTAGGTGAGCTTAATGTTTTTTGTGTGTGTGTGTGTGTTTTTAAAAATATTTTTATCGCTTTCAGAGAGGGAGAGGGAGAGATAGAAGCATCAATGATGAGAGAAGCACCGATTGGCTGCTTCCCGCATGCCCCCCACTGGGGATCTAGCCCGCCACCTGGGCATGTGCCCTTGACCGGAATCGAACCCAGGACCCTTCAGTCCTCAGCGGACACTCCATCCATTGAGCCAAACTGAAGAATAAGTCTCTATCTGTCTATCTATCTATCTATCTATCTATCTATCTATCTAATACACATCCCAGTGGTTCTGTTTCTCTGGAGAATCCTCATTCACATTCCATCCAAACCTAAAACACTGAGCATGAGACATGGCAAAGGAGCAGGGAGGAGCGAAGCGCTGGTCCTCAGGATGAGCCTCAGGAACATGAAGCTCTCGCCCTGGCCCGGTGGTCGGCAAACTGCGGCTCTCGCAATTCCAAAAATTATAGGCTGCTGTTGTTCCTTGTGATGAAGCCCCTATCCTAGTGGTCGGCAAGCTCATTAGTCAACAGAAGAAGTTTAAGTTTGAACACTGTGGCTCTCAAA